TACTATATGAAGGAAGCAGCTGTTTGTAGTTGCATGTGTGATGAAAGATAAGTGATATCGAATTTTAGACAAAAAAGGAAGTATGATGCATCAGTTACAGGCTTTTTATAATGTTATGATACTTCTCTGCTCTGTTTCAGCTCTCTCATCATGCATTATGATGTATAACTTTAATAAAACTAGTTATGAAAGTTACAAACCATTTTATCAAGAATTATGAAAAAACATAGATCTGATGGTGATTCCTTTCATTACATAGCTTTTTTTAGTTTTTTGTTTACCTGTTGCTACACACATATAATTTTGACACTTGGGTTTGTCATCCTTATAAGCACCTGGAATGAGTGATGAATACACCCCACCTTCTTATATTACACAGCACCATGCATGTCTGATATATATGATACCTCAGAGAATGTTATGATGATGTCGGTTTCATGTATTTATTTACATCATTTAGGATTGAATGACATGTTCAAAACTTAATGCACTGTTGTTTACTGAAACTGGAAATGTTAGCCTTGTTTTCCATTTGTTTATTTTTTTTTACTTATGTGCAAAATATGTGAAAAAAAGTTGAAAGTCACTTGAAGGTCTGTATAAAAAATAAAAGACTACATGGTCGAAATTCTGGATGAGATTCTAAAACACACACTGTAAGAACAGGAGGTATGGATCTTACAAACTATACAAAAAAGTTTGTGGTCTAATGTCTTATACAAACTAGACACACAAGACTATGTTCAAGTGTCTCACACAAACTAGACACACAAGGTTGTGGCCAAGTGTCTTACACAAACTAGACACTCAAGGTTGTGGCCAAGTGTCTCACACAAACTAGACACACAAGGTTGTGGCCAAGTGTCTTACACAAACTAGACACACAAGGTTGTGGCCAAGTGTCTAACACAAACTAGACACACAAGGTTGTGGCCAAGTGTCTTACACAAACTAGACACACAAGGTTGTGGCCAAGTGTCTAACACAAACTAGACACACAAGGTTGTGGCCAAGTGTCTAACATAAACTAGACACACAAGACTATGTTTAAGTGTCTAACACCAACTAGACACAAAGTTGTGGACAAGTATCTAACACACACTAGACACACAAGACTATGTTCAAGTGTCTTACTTAAATTTGACACACGAGGCTATGGCCAAGTGTCTAACACAAACTAGACACACAAGGTCATGGTCAAGTGTCTTACATAAACTAGACACACAAGATTGTGGTCAAGTGTCTTACACAAACTAGACACACAAGGTTGTGGCCAAGTGTCTAACACAAACTAGACACACAAGGTCATGGTCAAGTGTCTTACATAAACTAGACACACAAGATTGGGGTCAAGTGTCTTACACAAACTAGACACAAGGCCATGGCCAAGTGTTTTTCATCGTGACGTACTGATGATCGATTGTGTTGCACATAATTTATTAATCCTTAGATTTAAGAAATGTCTGTATTTTTCAACAGATGTACAGTTTTGTTTTTAATGTAAGGGAAGGGAGATCACTTGCTATGTAAGTTTGACAAATATGGCAGATAAGGACCAAAGAGTTCTGACGATCGACAATTCTATTTTTATCTTGGTGATGGTCAATAGTCAGAATTATTAAATGCCAATTCCTAAAGACCATACAAGGATTGGCATTCAGGCATTGTTTTATGTAGTTTACAACTAAATGACAGTTATAAATGATATATCAATGGAAAATAATTTTTTTCTTCTATCTTGCATATCAGTCAAAGCAATTAAATGTGTTTCCGCTCATTTCTCCCAACAATTTCACTTCTAGCATATTTACAATGGCTGTCACTAGGCAGAATCTCTAGAGTTGTTCCTGTACACCTACCAAAAAATAAATACTCGCAAGATCAGCAGCAATGGTAGATGTATAACCACAATTCTAGAGAAATTCTGTGTAGACACACAGGTTTGTGGTGAAGTGTCTTATGTATAGACTAGACACACAAGACAGTTGTTGTGTTTTATATACAACTAGACAATGTAGTTGTTAATTGTATTACTCAGTGACAAGATACATAAAATTGCAGACTATACACACAAGATTGATCAAGTTTCTCACAGACTATACACACAAGATTGATAAAGTTTCTCACAGACTATACACACAAGATTGACAAAGTTTCTCACAGACTATACACACAAGATTGATAAAGTTTCTCACAGACTATACACACAAGATTGATCAAGTTTCTCACAGACTATACACACAAGATTGATAAAGTTTCTCACAGACTATACACACAAGATTGACAAAGTTTCTCACAGACTATACACACAAGATTGATCAAGTTTCTCACAGACTATACACACAAGATTGACAAAGTTTCTCACAGACTATACAAAAGGCTGCATTAAAGTGTCTTTTGTACAGACAACACCCAAAGTTGTGTTAAAGTGTCTTATATACAGACAAAACCAAAGGCTGTGGTCAAGTGTCTTTCATACAGACTACACACCAGGCTATGGTAAAGTGCCTTACAAATAGATTATACACAAGGCTGTGTTAAAGTGTCATGCATACAGACAACACCAAAGGCTGTGGTCAAGTGTCTTGCATACAGAATACACACAAGGCTATGTTAAAGTGTCTTACATACAGACAACACCAAAGGCTGTGGTTAAGTGTCTTGCATACAGAATACACACAAGGCTATGTTAAAGTGTGTTACATAGAAACTTCACACAAAGTTGTGGCCAAGTATTTTACATGCACAATACACACAAGGCTATGGTAAAGTGTCTTACATACAGACTACACACAAGGCTATGGTAAAGTGTCTTACATACAGACTACCCACAAGGCTGTGGTCAAGTGTCTTACATACAGACTACACACAAGGCTATGGTAAAGTGTCTTACATACAGACTACACACAAGGCTATGGTAAAGTGTCTTACATACAGACTACACACAAGGCTGTGGTCAAGTGTTTTACATACAGACTACACACAAGGCTATGGTAAAGTGTCTTGCATACAGACTACACACAAGGCTGTGGTCAAGTGTCTTGCATACAGACTACACATTAGACTGTGATAAAGTGTTTTACATACATACTAGACATAAGGCTGTGGTCAAGTATCTTGCATACAGACTACACACAGGGCTTTGTTAAAGTGTCTTGCATGCAGACTACACACAAGGCTATGGTAAAGTGTCTTACATACAGACTACACACAAGATTGTGGTTTATTGTCTTACAGAGAAACTGTACATAAGGCTGTGTTAAAGTGTCTCACATACTAGGTATAAAAGGGATAAATGATCTATTCTGGATAATAAAAGGTCCCAAGGGCTACCCTATTAGTACAAATAACCCAATATAACCGAGTGTCCCATAGCTTCACCCTGGTCTGTCTGAAGGGCCGACCTATTAGTACATACAACTTGATATAATGGAGTGTCCCACAGCACTTTTTGATATTGTGGTGACCTTACACATATGATGTCTCTGATGAACACTGCTGGCCAGGGTTGCTCCCAGTCACATTTCACAATTAGGTCGTATTGATCACGTTTGCTGAGCATGCAGTCCTGATGAATAGCCCTCAAAATTGATAATTTCCTGTCCACAGACTTTATCATTCTTGCCTGAAATCATGCATACATTCAAAAGTCAGGCTGATGGCCAGGACTAGATAAAGCCAGCAAAATCTGGTCACAATGAATTCTGAGTACCCATGGATTCAGTTCGTAGCAAGTGGAGATGTAGGGATTGTTATGTGTGGAATGAAAATAAAGTCCAAACATTGAAATTTTCTATCGAATAGACTTATGTAAACTTGCTGATAGGTTATGATAGTGTTTGCTGTTAACAGGCTTGAAATTTCATCAACATTAAGTAAAAATCCTTGTATACAGTATTGTGATGTTAGAGGTAAGAATGGTAGAAAAGAGAGTAACTGTGTTTGAGGATCTTTTTTTATATATCTTCTATCCTCTATAAACAGCATAAAAAGCATCAATTTTAATGTATTTAGTGATGCTAACTGAAGTAGAATGCAACAGTTCATATTTTTATGCAGCATTGCCTAAATATTTGCAATATAAGTGCATTGTAACTAATTTCATTGGCGATTGACTTATAAGTAATTATTTTGAATAATTTGATATATGTATTTATCTTTTTGTAAGTAATTGGAATAATTTGATATTTGTATTTATCTTTTTGTAAGTAATTGGAATAATTTGATATTTGTATTATTCTTATAATTTGCTGATCTGCCAAAAGTGAATTTTTTAAAAAAAATTTCATATCCTGGAAAAATGGTACCATGCAACAACACAAATGTCATGTCATATTTCCTTATTTGGAAACATGTGTATGAAGATCTTTATGGATGAGAAATGGATATTGATTAGAAAGGGTGAAAACATTTATGAAATGAAGAAAACTACTTAAATGTTTTATTTTCAGGAAGTGACAGACTTGATGAAGCACTTTATTTTGCTTACCCTCGACTGATAAAATATTTCTATCATATAAGGACATTTATAAATAAAGCGGGAAATATTTTTTCTTGTGAAAGTATTCCATTTTGGATTCTGTCACTGTTCACATTTTGATAAGCAGGGTTTTGTGTAGTTTATATTATCATGTAAACATTGTAGGGAGATCCTTGTATTTAGTAAAATGAAAAGTTTGTTAATTCTCCAATTGCTGAAAATTCATACATTGTGCCCATATTTTTTATCATATGAAGTAAATACTTTCCCTTTATGAATAAAACCTTATCTTTTTATGTTTATCTGAATCAGCTCCAGCTCTGAATTAGGAATCAGAGCCTTGTTTTGTGAACAAAATTGAAAACTAGGTCTGATCTTATTTTCTTTAATAAGATTATTGGAAAGTCTTAGCCATCTGATGGGGAGCCAGGTTGCTTCTCTCTGGATTTATTATTTTTTCGTTGAACGGTCAGTACGTTTAGCTTTGTATGTTGATTGGTTGGTTTTCTTTGTAATACAGGGCCAAAGTACAGGCAGGAAGGTGTCCATGACTGTAGTGGTATGATACTTCAGTAGTATTAATACACAGAGTGCTTTTACCAATAACCCGTCTTAATGCTGGACAGATCTGAGGGAATGGTGGACAAATTGGAACAATACATATTCTATAGTAGTACTAGTACTGCAGACTACTGCAGACCGTGCTATTAAGATTTCATGTACATAGTCTTTCTTTACAGAATATGTATTGTCCATAACCATTTCCCAACAGCTGCCAATATTTTGACATTTTTTCTTAATATTTCTTTTACCATTATTTCTAAAAAAGCCATTTCTCTTTAAGCATAATTCTAAAAAAAAACATTTCTCTTATCATAATTCTAAAAAAAATCTTTCTTGAAAAGAATTGTTGTTGTATTAAAGCTTCATCACATTTATCCCATTTCAACATTTTCTAGAATAATCCATTCTAGTGATTTTTGTGTAAATTCTTGGTAGAACCATAATGTCATGTACCTAACTTCTTCAGTCCCTAGAAAAGCTCTTGATGGTAGTCCATTCTCCTGTTTTTAGTCTTCTCTGACTACTCACGAAGTCAAATTTGATGGAAACATTAAACTATTTAACTTGACAAAATATCATTCTATCCTCAGTAGGATATGGAATATCTTCTATGTGTGGTGTGTTACGCTGTATCAAACATCAGCTACCTATGTACATTGTCTATACAACACTAACGCCTTTGGAACCCATTATATGATTGGTGCTATTGCCATTTAAACTTAGTGCTAGATTTGTTCTGTTCTGCTGAAAGACAGATACATTTTGATCTTAATGTAATAAGTTAACTCAATTTATGAAACTTTATTTTTGAAAATACTTGGGAGGAAGTGAAACAATGAATCTATATTGGTTCATTTGGTATAAAAATAAATTTTTTGTTAAAATTGATGCCTTATTTGGGTGTAGTAATTTATGTTTAAATTGATGCTTTAATTGGGTATAGTGATTTGTGTTAAAATTGATTCCTTATTTGGGTGTAGTAATTTATGTTTGAATTGATGCTTTAATTGGGTATAGTGATTTGTGTTAAAATTGATTCCTTATTTGGGTGTAGTAATTTATGTTTGAATTGATGCTTTAATTGGGTATAGTGATTTGTGTTAAAATTGATGCCTTATTTGGTTATAGTGAATACTTTATTAAGGGATAGATGGTGATTTGTGTTAAACTTAATACCTTATTTGGGTATGGTGACTTGTGTTCAAATTGACCCTTTATTAAGGTATAGTGATTTGTATTAAAATAACTACTTTATTAGGGTATAGTAACTTGTTGTAAAATTTACATTTTATATTTCAGTCAGTGAATAGGTGAAAATACCAATAATTTGGTTATCCTATGGTGGGTAATCTTTTGGAATGAGGATCTTGTATATGCTGTTAGTTGCTGTCCAGAAGGAGATGTAGAATTTGACTTGGAGAAATAGACTGTGAGGATTATATGTGAATAGTTTCATCAAGGTTTAGTTGTATGAGGGCTGATTGATAAGTTGTGAGCTTCACATTTAAGGGTTTGATTTTTGGCAGACATATTGCATTATTTTTCAACATAATCCCCTTCAGTATCTACACTTTTGTCAGCGATGTTTAAGGGCCTCAATCCCACTTTTAAAGAAGCCCTTTTCTTGACCATTCAGAAAGTCCTCCACTGCATGTATGACATCATCATTTGATTGAAATTGGGTTCTGGAAATGTCCTTTTCAATTTTGGAAAGAGATCAGGCGAAAAAGACAGATGCTCAATCAATTCAAAGCCACAATTGTTAATGGCAGCCATGGCAATGGTAGATTGTGAACAGGGGCATTGTCTTGGTGGAACAACACACCTTTACTGAGATTTCCGCAGCTCTTGAGTTTAATATTTTCTCTTAACTACCCAAGAAGTGATGCATGATATGTACCATTGATTTTTTGTCCCTTTTTCAGATAATCTGCCATCAGAATACTATCAGCATCCCTATAAGACCAAGGCCATAAACTTTTCTAGCTGATGGAACAGTCTTTGCCCACTTTGGCAGGGGTAAACCAGGGTGCCTCCATTGTTCAGATTGTTGTTTGGCCTCGAGGCTAAAATAATGTACTCATGTTTCTTCCATAGTCAAACCAGAAAGTTAGCAGGTTCTGCCTCTAAAAGTTTCAGATTAGCACTTGACAAAGTTCACCTGGTGTGCTTCTGATCAACTGTCAGAAGTCTTGGTACCCAACGGGCTGCGAGCTTTCTCATTGCAAAAGGAAGGATGGTATTCTTCCCTGTGAAATCCCTACTGTAGTGGCTATACAGCTCTCTGTAACCTGCCTGTCAGCCATAACAATATTGTGGACTTTATTGACCATTTCTAGGGTTACCACAGTGACAGGCCTTCCAGGACGGGCATCATCCCCAAGGCTCTGCCTGCCAGGCTTAAATTCCATCATCCACCTTTTCACTGTAACATATGAAGGGGCATCATTACCTAGTGTTGCTGCCATATCAATGTGGATATCCATAGGTGCTAGACTTTTCTTATGCAAATATTGAATCACTGCTCTTTCAGCAATTTCATCCATTTTGCAAACATCTCTTGCCTTGCTTACTTTGGAGTGCTACCATAAACTGACAAATTACATCAGCTTTAAATAGTCTGGGAATAGTAGAGCTGAAAAAGGACATCCCTGCTTAACTTCTTCAATAAAAGGCTCACAACCTATCAAACAGCCCTCTTACATAATGTATACATTGTTTTGCTGGAAAAGTCACTAAAAAGGGACCTTATTGGTGTTGTTGTAGGGGTTTTGATTTACAAAGGTCAAGTTTAAGAATACCTTGAATGGGTTGATGTGACTAGGTGTCAAGGTCATTGTAATCTAAATATATCTTCTTGTAGATAAAGCTATACAGTAAAGAGAGGTACTGATATACAGTTTTATAAAATACATCACAAGATAATATACACATTAAGTGAATGGGAGTACTAATTATAATCCTTAAGTATGATTATTTTCTATGTAACAAAGCAAAAATGACTGCAGTCAACATAAAAAGCTGATCACTCATCTCAACACAGCTAAATACTTTACCAGTATTATAGACTTAGGGAGAATATATAAAGTCACTATCACATCATAAAAATGAAAATATCACTTCCTCTTCATCAAGGTCATTTTGTCACTATGGAAACATGAGATGTACAGGAAGTCATGATGAACACTTTGTTTACTGCAAGTTGAAGGTCATAGTGGTAAAGATTATAACTACTCTAATGTGTAGTCACAGTTGTTGTGTTTCCATGGTTACTGTTTTCAGTGTTACTATGATTTCCTTGTAGGCTTCAATGTCACAGCAGAGACTGTGGTGCATCCTTTTACAGTGATACCTAGTACTAACCATTAACATGTTTATATTATTGTAACATCAGTGAATTGCTAAGCCTTCAATCAAGCTTGTAATCCTTGCATTTCTTTATATTAAAGTGTTGTATGACAATAAAACTCATGGAAAATAACACTTTTACACCACATTAATTAAGGGATATATTGAATCACAATATTATAGCTTTGCTATCATGGAATTATTTTTCAAAAGTTTTATCATATATACCTTGGTAATGAAGTTTCATTTTGCAACAAATTTTCCAACTTTGTGCTCAGCTCTTGTTTATTACCATAAACTTTTGTCGATAACAATGTGTTTTTTTTAAGGATTTTGAAAGTTTGATTATCCTCCTTTTCACATTAAGTGATTAGGTCAGTTTGAAGAAATTTTGCAATATTATGATGATTTAATTCGTTGCTTGACAATCGCATGAAAAGATGGCATTTCATTGTAATAATGTAAATGATCCAGCTTTGAAAACTCCAGAAGAACATTATTTAGTTAATATTCAACCTTAACTGTGTCTCCTATAGAAGAGATTTCTGTGGAGAGACCTTGTACCGGTGCTGATGTAGACTCAGTAGATTGAGAACATATTATAAAGGACGATAACACAGGTCATTCTGGATGAAAGTAATACGGAATAAAATTCATAGGGGAGATAACTCTAGCACAGAAAGTGTAGATAAGCTCCTATGGGAAATAATTGCATTCAACTTTTACACAAATCACAAGATCAAGTGAACAGAAACTAAAACAATCAGATATGTGGTGAAAACAAAACCCACAGAACAGTATGAAGCAAGGAAGTATGCCCCATCTTCAAACTTGCTAGAATGTTATTGTCTAGATAAGAAATTTTCAGAAGTTTGAAAGAGAAGATGACATAAAAAAGTGTGGTCAAATTAGTCCTAGATTGTTAATTAACAAACTATACAGAACATGTTCCTTATAGGATTTAGATTTGATTGAACTAAAACATGGTAATTGTACTTGGATTTGTACTATATATATATAAGCTGTCATATTAAAGTATTGTTTCTTTTATATCAGAATTCAAGTAACTTGATACCTGTAGTTTGATTATGAAAATATCAACAGTGTTATTCCACAGAGCTATAGATGAAAAAATGTCTTATTTTTTCCCAGAGATAAAGTGTCTTATATACTGGAAATATCACTAGTTGTAAGAGAAGGTTAAATTGTCAGCTTTGTTTCGTAGTATTTGTCTTAGCACTGTTACTCTAAGTGTATACGATGCACTCTTTCATATTTTCTTTTGCAGACTTGACACAGCGTGGACATTTTGTTTGTCTTGTTTTAGCAGTGTAGCTTTAATCTTTGCAGACATATGTTTTTAACTCGCACAAAAAACTGAATTTCTATGAATTAGAAATGGAATGTGTTTTAAAAACCATAAAAGCATTGTTAGCTATTAATCATTACCAAGTTAAAGAATATTTTGAAAAAATAAAAACTTGTTGAAAGAGTGGTCATAATATGGCTGATATAGAATCATAATGATTGTTTGCTGACATTTCCTTGTTTTAACAAATCTAATTATATATTTAAGATTATTGGTGATCTAGATAATTGTATGATATTGTGTTATAGCTGTTTGAAAGCCAAGGTTTGTCTGCTTCTGTTGACAGGACATGGATTGTCTGGACATCTCGTATATCCGAGACACACGGACGGGCCGCTTCGCCAAAGTACCCAAGGTAAGAAACAAGGAAAATTTGTACTGAATCACTTACAGGATGGGAAGACCGTGACGGCATCAGAGAAAGTTGTGGCGTATTCTAATCAATGTATGATTGTCGGATGTGGATAAAGCATCCTGGCAGAATTACTAGGTTTTCTTCTTAGCTAACTGCCAGGGAGTATTGAAGAGGTGAAGGGCAATCTAATGCACCAATTGTAAAACTGCTGCTAGTTTCCTTCCTTCTTCTCATTCCTCTTCTAACAGTTGAAACCTCAGTTTTCATTTCCCATTGTAACATATAGGCCATCAGACTTCTCTGTTCTGTCTTCAGTTTCCCATTGTAACACATGTGCCATCAGACTTTCTGTTCTGTCTTCAGTTTCCCATTGTAACATATAGGCCATCAGACTTCTATGTTCTGTCTTCAGTTTCCCATTGTAACACATGGGCCATCAGACTTTCTGTTCTGTCTTCAGCTTCCCATTGTAACACATGTGCCATCAGACTTTCTGTTCTGTCTTCAGTTTCCCATTGTAACATATAGGCCATCAGACTTCTATGTTCTGTCTTCAGTTTCCCATTGTAACACATGGGCCATCAGACTTTCTGTTCTGTCTTCAGTATCCCATTGTAACACATGGGCCATCAGACTTTCTGTTCTGTCTTCAGTTTCCCATTGTAACACATGGGCCATCAGACTTTCTGTTCTGTCTTCAGTTTCCCATTGTAACACATGTGCCATCAGACTTTCTGTTCTGTCTTCAGTTTCCCATTGTAACATATAGGCCATCAGACTTTCTGTTCTGTCTTCAGTTTCCCATTGTAACACATAGGCCATCAGACTTTCTGTTCTGTCTTCAGTTTCCCATTGTAACATATAGGCCATCAGACTTTCTGTTCTGTCTTCAGTTTCCCATTGTAACACATAGGCCATCAGACTTTCTGTTCTGTCTTCAGTATCCCATTGTAGCATAGGCCATCAGACTTTCTGTTCTGTCTTCAGTTTCCCATTGTAACACATGGCCATCAGACTTTCTGTTCTGTCTTCAGTTTCCCATTGTAACACATGTGCCATCAGACTTTCTGTTCTGTCTTCAGTTTCCCATTGTAACATATAGGCCATCAGACTTTCTGTTCTGTCTTCAGTTTCCCATTGTAACACATAGGCCATCAGACTTTCTGTTCTGTCTTCAGTTTCCCATTGTAACATATAGGCCATCAGACTTTCTGTTCTGTCTTCAGTTTCCCATTGTAACACATGGCCATCAGACTTTCTGTTCTGTCTTCAGTTTCCCATTGTAACAAATAGGCCATCAGACTTTCTGTTCTGTCTTCAGTTTCCCATTGTAACACATGGGCCATCAGACTTTCTGTTCTGTCTTCAGTTTCCCATTGTAACACATGGGCCATCAGACTTTCTGTTCTGTCTTCCCTTTACACTGTAACATATAGGCCATCAGACTTCTCTGTTCTGTCTTCAGTTTCCCATTGTAACACATGGCCATCAGACTTTCTGTTCTGTCTTCAGTTTCCCATTGTAACACATGGGCCATCAGACTTTCTGTTCTGTCTTCAGTATCCCATTGTAACACATGGGCCATCAGACTTTCTGTTCTGTCTTCAGTTTCCCATTGTAACATAGGCCATCAGACTTCTCTGTTCTGTCTTCAGTTTCCCATTGTAACAAATAGGCCATCAGACTTTCTGTTCTGTCTTCAGTTTCCCATTGTAACATATAGGCCATCAGACTTTCTGTTCTGTCTTCCCTTTACACTGTAACATATAGGCCATCAGACTTCTATGTTCTGTCTTCAGTTTCCCATTGTAACATATAGGCCATCAGACTTTCTGTTCTGTCTTCAGTTTCCCATTGTAACATAGGCCATCAGACTTTCTGTTCTGTCTTCAGTTTCCCATTGTAACACATGGCCATCAGACTTTCTGTTCTGTCTTCAGTTTCCCATTGTAACACATGGCCATCAGACTTTCTGTTCTGTCTTCAGTTTCCCATTGTAAAACATGGGCCATCAGACTTCTCTGTTCTGTCTTCAGTTTCCCATTGTAACATATAGGCCATCAGACTTTCTGTTCTGTCTTCCCTTTACACTGTAACAAATAGGCCATCAGACTTTCTGTTCTGTCTTCAGTTTCCCATTGTAACACATGTGCCATCAGACTTTCTGTTCTGTCTTCAGTTTCCCATTGTAACACATGTGCCATCAGACTTCTCTGTTCTGTCTTCAGTATCCCATTGTAACACATGGCCATCAGACTTTCTGTTCTGTCTTCAGCTTCCCATTGTAACACATGTGCCATCAGACTTCTCTGTTCTGTCTTCAGTATCCCATTGTAACATATAGGCCATCAGACTTTCTGTTCTGTCTTCAGTTTCCCATTGTTACACATGTGCCATCAGACTTTCTGTTCTGTCTTCAGTATCCCATTGTAACACATGTGCCATCAGACTTTCTGTTCTGTCTTCAGTATCCCATTGTAACACATGTGCCATCAGACTTTCTGTTCTGTCTTCCCTTTACACTGTAACATATAGGCCATCAGACTTTCTGTTCTGTCTTCAGTATCCCATTGTAACACATGTGCCATCAGACTTTCTGTTCTGTCTTCAGTATCCCATTGTAACACATGTGCCATCAGACTTTCTGTTCTGTCTTCCCTTTACACTGTAACATATAGGCCATCAGACTTTCTGTTCTGTCTTCCCTTTACACTGTAACACCTGAATCATCCTATGCTGTCTTCCTGTTGTAACATTTTGGCCACCAGACTTGTTTGTTCTTCCTTTCCTTCCCATTGTAACACTTTGACTCTGATCTGTTCTGTCTTTTTTTTCTAATTGTAACACGAGGGACCTTCGCTTCACTGATCACCACTACAGACTTTTTCATCTTGGTTTCTCTCCAATAGTTATATTTTTACAGTAAATATACTATTACCTTGTTTGTACTGAGCCGGATTTTATTTATCCTATCCCCTTCTCGGTTACCAATGCACACTAGGGATTTCATGGAAATTACACAGGCATGAAGCATGTTTCAATATGTCATTATCTGAAAAAGAAGGGATGAATACAAGTTGAAATGTCAGTTTTGTTTCAGCTCCAGACGAAACACTATACCCTGTTTACTCACACATGTGGTCTTTGTGATACATTGTATGCTAGATAAACGACATAGAAGTTCATTGGGTAAACATACATAATTTGTGGGAATTTATTTATTGACTGAGTGCAGATTATTACACTGAGCTCATTATACTTTGAATTATTATGGTCTGTTTAATAGTAATTTGAAAATTGCCTGATTTTGATATCACAATATCAATTGTATCCCAAGCGATAGTTTTTAGGTGAATTTTATGTAATTGCATGGAATGTTGAATTGATAAAAGTGCCTGGAGATACATAATATACATAAGTATACATACAGGCAGTGTTTTCTGGTTGTTTCTGATGTGATCTTTCATCACCATTAATTACAGGGTACTTTTAACACCCTTACAGAAATTGATATAATGGAACAGTCAGTATATTTTCTGCATTTTAACATAACATGGTGTAATAAGGACGGAAATTGGATTAATTGACAATGGATTGAAAACAGTATTAGATAAGCAAACAGATTTTAGTGGAAGTATATAATTTCCAATAAATATTCTCTTTGTTCAGAAACCTGCCTATTAATGTTGGTAAAATGTCATGATATTTAGAAGGAGAAATTAGCTGTCAGTAGATTTGGTTCATATTTAACCCATGATATTATAACATCATATTCAACACCTGATCATCAAATTCTAGTTTGTAGAAATCTGTTTTTAATACATTTTCTTATTTGAGGTATAAACTTAATTTAGCATTGATAATGAGTTAGGTAGTGAATTCCTTTTCTAATAAAGGTGTGTATTATGAGACAATATGTGTTTAATGTTTATGGTTAATTTTCTCTGATTGTTTGAGGATGTAATTTTGAGACATACCAGCCTGTAAAAGTGCAAGGTTGTGGCATGGAAAAATATTGATCAAGGGTGAATCATTTTATGAAAAGTGGTTTACAATCTGCACAAAGTGTGTACAGCAAATGTGGGGTCTGACTTAGGATGAGTAGGGACTCCACCAATCAATAGACCTCGCCCTGATGCAATTGATCTATATTTAAGTAATTGTTAGACAGATAATTTAGACTGGATATTGACAATAGGGAGCAATGAAGGCCCAGTTTCTACCTGTCAACTTAAACCTCCACAAGGAGTATTCAATTCAGTCACTGTTAGACCTCCGATTGCTAGATTGAACATGGAAGAGAAACGATTGCTTCCTCTGCTGTCACTCCAGATCTCGACCAATCAAGTCTAGGTCTGTCACACGCATGTCACATTTGCACACAAGAACAAGAGATTGCAGTGAATTAAAACAAGTATGGTAGAATGATGAGTGAATATAGTTCTAAAAACACTTCCTTTTCCCCTTTGATTGAAAAATCAATATAAATGGCAATCTCTCACAGATCTTATTTAAGCTCTGTTTAGGATTTTCCTTTAGAATTGGTAAAATTGCATATTTTTTTATTATCAAGTGAGCATATTTGTTGAAATGATATTATATCTGTAGAAAGAACTTAAAAGAGATGAAAAGATATCTGTTTGTCGTTAAGGTATAAATTTGATATGAGTTAGATTTATCACAAAGGAACAATGATTGAGTACGTAACACTTATGCCTGAAATAGTTGTCTTTACCCTGATATAACTGTTGGCTGATTTAATAAATGTTTAAAACATTGTGGGTCAATTAGATAGTATCATGTTTCAAGTCGAATCAATACACTTTCTAGATACATGGCAGCCAATGTAGTTGCCAAGGTGTTCTGGTAACTGGTATCACTAGTGAGCAAGTGTGAAACGTTTACTGATTCCTAGGTTGGGTGTTAATCTGTGATGTCCTGGTTTGTTTAGGTCATAATCACAGTTAGAGGTCAACTGGAGGATTTTATAAACTGAAGATCTGTTTAATACTGAGATTGAATTTCCATTAAATTTTTGATGATGCTAAAAAAGTCAAAGGTTAACACAAGTTTTGAGTTAATGAGATAATATGAGAGGTTTTTAGAGTCCTGAGATAATGATGGCAGACCTGAAACCTGCCTTAACTGGCTGTAAAATCAATCTCTGTGAACCAAAGTGTAGCCACACAGAAAATCAATAGCAGCCAAAGATGTCGGCAATACTTTAAAACAAAAATACCTACACAGTCTAAACTTGACAACCTGATGATTAATATATACTTCCTCAGCTCTTACAACATTGACTAACTTATAAGTTTCTATAGATTATCATGTCTTATCAATTTGAAGAGTTGAGGAAATGGGAAGTTTGCTAATGTGTGAGTAAGTGACCACTTGTCATTCAGTGATACAAAACATATAGATAATAGCTCATGTGTATTCTGCCTAAATCTGATTTAACAGTGCTAAAACTGTTGAAAGATTACAAATTATTGTTGTTGAAAATGAAATGTGCTGTGCCACTGAAATTCAGTAGAATTATTGTGCTACACTTATCCTCAATAGTTGAAGTTTGTTGTGTTAGGCAGAAGTTAGAAGTGAGAGTCTTACAGATTAGGTGCTGAGATAGCTCAGTTGGTAGAGGATCAGACATTGCAACCTCGAGGAGAAAATATGAGGTGTATGGTGAGATCCTTACACCGAGCAGTTTGTGTTTTTCGTGTGAAGATCTGAGGTGTGTGGTACGATCCTTACACAGAGTGGTCTGTGTTTCTTAGGTGAAGATCTGAGGTATGTAGTTAGGTCATACACAGAGCAGTTTGTGTTTCTCAGGTGAAGATCTGAGGTGTGTGGTGAGATCCTACACAGAGCAGTTTGTGTTTCTCAGGTGAAGATCTGAGGTATGTAGTTAGGTCATACACAGAGCAGTTTGTGTTTTTCGTGTGAAGATCTGAGGTGTGTGGTACGATCCTTACACAGAGTGGTCTGTGTTTCTTAGGTGAAGATCTGAGGTATGTAGTTAGGTCATACACAGAGCAGTTTGTGTTTCTCAGGTGAAGATCTGAGGTATGTAGTTAGGTCATACACAGAGCAGTTTGTGCTTCTCAGGTGAAGATCTAAGGTGTGTGGTGAGATCCTACACAGAGCAGTTTATGTTTCTCAGGTGAAGATCTGAGGTATGTAGTTAGGTCATACACAGAGCAGTTTGTGTTTCTCAGGTGAAGATCTAAGGTGTGTGGTGAGTTTCTTACACAGAGCAGTTTGTGTTTCTCAGGTGAAGATCTGAGGTGTGTGGTGAGATCCTACACAGAGCAGTTTGTGTTTCTCAGGTGAAGATCTAAGGTGTGTGGTGAGATCCTACACAGAGCAGTTTGTGTTTCTCAGGTGAAGATCCAAGGTGTGTAGTGAGATCCTACACAGAGCAGTTTGTGTTTCTCAGGTGAAGATCTAAGGTATGTGGTGAGATCCTACACAGAGCAGTTTGTGTTTCTCAGGTGAAGATCTGAGGTGTGTAGCTAGGTCATACACAGAGCTTTTTGCGATTCTCAAGTGAAGATCTGAATTGTGTGGTGAGATCTTAAAACCTTAGGCAGGAGGATTGGGGCTCAATCGGGGAGATGTAATTTCTTGAAAAGCTTTGTTCCATACAAGGATAGTATTCATGTTTGGTCTGAAGCTATTTTTATGAATAGTAAATCTGACTTCTGTTTGACCACAAAATCAGGACCCAATAAGGAAATTATTTCAGAATATATATTTGAAATTCTTTGTTAAATGGCTGAATAGCTAAATTAGCAATCATGATTCTCTGTTACCATTGTAGTTCTCTGTTTATTTTGATTCTCTGATGTCATTGTGATTAATCAGTAGTCATGTTTTTCTCTGTTGTCATGGTTTTCAATGTTGTCATAATGATTCTCGGTTGTCATGATTTTCTCTGTTGTCATGGTTTTCTCTGTTGTCATCATGATTCTTGGTTGTCATGGTTTTCTCTGTTGTCATCATGATTCTTGGTTGTCATGGTTTTCACTGTTGTCATTATGATTCTCGGTTGTCATGGTTTTCTCTGTTGTCATCATGATTCTTGGTTGTCATGGTTTTCTCTGTTGTAATGGTTTTCACTGTTGTCATGATTTTCTATGTTGTCATCATGAACCTTGGTTGTCATGGCTTTCTCTGTTGTCATCATGATTCTCGGTTGTCATGGCTTTCTCTGTTGTCATGGTTTTCTCTGTTGTCATCATGATTCTTGGTTGTCATGGTTTTCTCTGTTGTCATCATGATTCTTGGTTGTCATGGTTTTCACTGTTGTCATTATGATTCTCAGTTGTCATGGTTTTCTCTGTTGTCATCATGATTCTTGGTTGTCATGGTTTTCTCTGTTGTCATGGTTTTCACTGTTGTCATGATTTTCTATGTTGTCATCATGAACCTTGGTTGTCATGGCTTTCTCTGTTGTCATTGTTTTTTTCTGTTGTCATCTTGATTCTTGGTTGTCATGTTTTTCTCTGTTGTCATGGTATTCTATGTTGTCATCATGATTCTTGGTTGTCATGGTTTTCACTGTTGTCATTGTTATTTTTGGTTGTCATGGTTTTTCTCTGTTGTCCTTGTGATTCACATTTGTCATTGTTTTTTCTGATGTCATTATGATTTTCTGTTATTGCTGTGGATCTCTGTTGTCATTATGGTTCTCTTCTTTGTAAGAAAGATTCTCTTTGCTGTTATCATTGTTCTGTAAGTGCCACTGTGCTTTCTTCTGTCTTGCTTCTGAAACAGCTCATGGCACTAGTAACACTTATATAAATGTATACCTAGTAATTAAACATATAACATGATACTTTATGTTTCAGGAAGGGAAGCTAAGGGAGTCATGTATGATAGGCAATATGGACTGTTCATTGGAGGATAAGACTGTTACTATTGCCTACACAAAGGATCCCTCCAAGTGCAACATGGTGGATGTCGACTTTATCAACTTTGTGTGTGCCAGCAAGGCTGTAGCCAAGGTAACTTACAAGATCTCTAGAAGATGACTAAGTCAATACTTGTTGTCTTAGAGTTCTGTATTCAAGGTAATTCATTTTTGTGTTTGCTGTAGTGTGGACAAGAGATCAGAACAAAGCTAAAAGGTGAATAAGTGACAGTCATTATGCAATACAGCAATAGAAAGAATACCACATTACTTCAGTAATGTTAGTGTGTCACTATTGTAGTTCTTACCTCTTTAACAGATATTTATTCCAAGTAGATAAAATGTTACTGAGGTGACTAGATCCTTTCAGTTCTTTTGGGGTGTCTTTAGATCACTGTCAGGAAAATAGATCTTTCAGTTCTTTGGGCGTGTCTTTAGATCACTGTCAGGAACATAGATCTTTCAGTTCTTTGGGCGTGTCTTTAGATCACTGTCAGGAACATAGATCTTTCAGTTCTTTGGGCGTGTCTTTAGATCACTGTCAGGAACATAGATCTTTCAGTTCTTTGGGCGTGTCTTTAGATCACTGTCAGGAACATAGATCTTTCAGTTCTTTGGGCGTGTCTTTAGATCACTGTCAGGAACATAGATCTTTCAGTTCTTTGGGCGTGTCTTTAGATCACTGTCAGGAACATAGATCTTTCAGTTCTTTGGGCGTGTCTTTAGATCACTGTCAGGAACATAGATCTTTCAGTTCTTTGGGCGTGTCTTTAGATCACTGTCAGGAACATAGATCTTTCAGTTCTTTGGGCCTGTCTTTAGATCACTGTCACTATGATCCTGTAATATTGGCTCTGCGTGTGGATACATGAAGCCACTTCCTGTTTGTTTTTATGAAATCAGGTACTATAGGAAGTTGTTGTACTACAGTACAATGTCATTTATCTCTCCTTGTATGGAATCTTAGTACATGTAGCATGGCATATCAACTACAAAGTATACTGGTATATCATAAAAAATGCATCTTTGCTAATATGCTTCGGTATCATTGTTATATGATATATCTGAATTACTATGGAGATGAAAAAGTCTGATGGCATATAAAATGTTATAGGAGTAGTAGTGACCTTTAAACAATGCCCTCCATGGAGACACAGTGACAACCGTGGTCGATAGTCATAATATCACTTATGGAAGATCAAATTGATCATGGCCAATGAAACTAATTGGAAGCATGATATACATATTATATGTGTCGTTGACCTAATTAGTACTTCCTGCACAATTAAATTGAAATAAATATATATCATGTAATTTCCTTGAAAAAGAAACCAGTACTTTGTTAGGTGTTGGATGTGAGCTAGTGTCTGTTAATTGTCCATTGATATCTAGTTACCATGGTGTCAGTGTAATCTGTAGGTGTCATTGGCAAACACATCGTTGATATGTTTCTTTTATTTCATCAGATTATAACACAAAATATTGGAGACTCATGTTTCACAGTATATGTTTACCTAATTTTATATTCATCTAATTCAGATGATAAATACTAGGCAGCAAGGATTGAGAAAATATTAGTGACAGTGTGTACATTGGTTTCTACTGTATAGTGTCAACAATTTGATGAAAAAGATATTACTCACATAGCCTTAAACATTATCAGACAGTTTTGCATTATTTTTCAAAGATTATGTTACATGTAACTTTTGGGATATTAACTTCACTTAAATCTGGGTAATTAGACAAACACACATTTTGTCTGTATTGGTCTATTTACAGGAATTCCACTAGTTTTATGACTGATATGAGAATTTTCCCTTTCGAGGATGGCAGGTAATAATACTGAAAAGAATTCTCACCACTTCCAACCATTTTTTTATCATTGTCTCTAGGAATGGTGTGATGAGTTGTTGAAGTATGCCACCAATCTTTTGGCTCTCAACGCCAGTGCGCTGTCCTATCTGGAGAAAGCCCATACCAAACTCACACATGTACTGGATGTCAATGGGCGCATACCTGTCAAAAAGTATGTTCATTTCTTACATAGTGTGTAGTAACCTTTTGGTCCAGAGTATAGTCAATTTCTCTAATGTTACATAAAAAAACATTTCTTACATACTGTATAGTAGCCTTACGATCCAGAATATAATTGATTTCAAAATGTGACATTAAATAGCACAATTAAAATTTGATCTTTTCAGTAATTCTTGTATTTTCATGTAAATATATGTGTATACATAAATACATGTAATATATCCGTCCAGAAGTTGTGAGTTACAGAACTTTACAATATTAGATTTTGTCCTAAAGTGTGTCTGCTGAACGCTGATTATGTCGGTGAAAATGGACGTAAAAACTCATAACCAAAGATTTTCTTGAAGTTCTTAGAAAATTGACATCTATCAGCTTGTAATCACTACACATAGATATATACTGGTAATATGTAGTCAGTAAAAGAAAGCAAAGCCAATGCCATCAGCTGATCTAACAGGAAGATAAGGGTTGTATATTGTCATCAATTTGCTGGTAAACTCGGAACTGGTTCATGTATATACCACCAATACTTTTCTGAATTAATTAAGGAAAGTAGATGTAGGAGTCAGTTTTAATGTGTTTAAACAAATGTTAAATGCAAGTAATGTAAGATTGTATAAAATTTTGTATCTTAAAAAGTGAAAACTCTTATCATAAGACTTTTATTGCACTGAAAGATAATATAAATTTGAATCTGGTCCACAAACGTCATACAGCTCATCTCAATTCCAGATTCTTAGCAGTGAGATGGTTGAGTCTGTCATGAAGTTTATTACTAATGAATAACTAATGACAATTTGTTTGATCTTGAACATCTAAATGTTTGTTATTGTGCAGCATTGTGAAGATGGTTGCTAAACATACAGAAGACCGTCGACGTGTGGAGAAAGCTCTTGAGGCTGTAGGATTTAATGCTGGAAAGGTAGGATAATCAGGCTGCCATTTGAGTCCATGTCTTGTTGGATTGATTTATATAGATTTTTTCCAAAGGTCAGGTGAGAATATCTTCTACAGGTTTTAAATAAGATAAATGCAGATAATCTTCATCAGGTGTTCTTCACAATCTACATGTTGTTTTTGTTATGCCCCCAACTGTTTATGGATATTGGGGCATATATTGTTACCCATGTCTGTTCGTCCAGTCCCCGTCCTGTCCTGTTATCCCATCCATAGTATCATAATATCTAGTACTACTCCTATCATATTAAGATGGTCATTGGTCTAGATTAAAAGTTCAAAGGTCACATTCGACAACTTCTGCAAATTCATCAAATTTTTACTTTTATATGTCTTGGAACAAGGACAATCATGTCTTAGAGACATTTTCTAAATTTGATGTGGAATATTGGAAAAATAATCTGAACCTCAAATTAAGAAGGAAATGGAAAAATCAAGCACACACACATTACATACACATGACACACACATTACAAATTGTACACACATTACACACATTACATACACATAACACACAACACATATTACACACATTACATACACATAACACACACATAACACACAACACATATTACACACATTACATACACATAACACACACATAACACACACATAACACACACATAACACACAACACATATTACACACATTACACACACATGACACACACATTACAAATTGTACACACATTACACACATTACATACACATAACACACAACACATTACACACACATTACACACAACACACATATTACACACACTACACACACTACACACATTATATACACAATACACACAACACACACATTACACACATTACACACAACACACATTACACACATATTACACACAACACACATATTACACACATTACACACATCAAACACACATTACACACATTGACCAGTTTATGCAATCAACCGTTTTATTTATGATTTCAGAATGAGACTATTGATCCTAACAAATTTACATTTGATGGATTTTTCAATTTCTACCGCCACCTGGTGGGGAGAACGGAGGTTGATAAGGTCTTTGATGAGATGTAAGTCACATTAGCCAGGTACAAATATCAAATTGATAAGATTTCTATGTAAATTTTGTCAAATTACCATAATTATAGATCACAAAATTACCACACAACACTAGGACAGATTTGGCGGAAAAATTGTATTACATACAAAAAGTTGTATAACATTATAGGCAATGCAAGAATCAGAGAAAACGTTTGAGTTGTAGAATTGTAGGATGTTTGCAAAACTGGAGGATGATGCCCTTTATACACGTATGCTGGAGTTAAAAGTGTAGAGTATATTGGAAAGAATAGAATTCTAATTACAAAGTTTTCATGACTTATCCTTCACTTATTCAGTGGTGCCAAAAAGAAGCCGTACCTAACGGTAGACCAGTTTGTAGAATTCCTAAATGGTGAGCAGAGAGACCCACGTTTAAATGAGATTTTATATCCATACTACTCCACAAAGCAAGCCCAGGACCTAATAAATACCTACGAGACGAAGATCGGCATGGCAGCCAAGGGTAGGTAATTCTACTAGACTAAAAGTATAAGTATTCAAAACATAAAGGCTGTCAAGAATTCAAATGGATTTTCAGTTTTTGAAAGTAACATAAAAATATAAAAGGAAAAATGCTTTTTTAGAAAATGCCTTTAGTTAGATATGTATAATGGTGAAGGATTGAATTAGCCTTACTGACAACCTTAGGTGCTACCTAACCCATGGTTACCATAGTTACAGTATATATGGTGGTGGATAAGTCTGCGATAATATGTTTTATGTAAAATTTTCCTCTCGCATTTAAAATGTTACTTATATCTCTGTAATGCTTCATTCAATTTTTTAACGGAATTTACAAAAAGAAAAAAAAGAAAAAATAAAGAATGTTTCTAATTATTAACTATATTTTCATCTCTGTTCTGATAGCATGTTCTATATTTCTATTGTTTGTCCTGACAGTTTCTTTCTTAATTCCATCAATTTTATATCAATTTTGCTACAGACAAACAGAAAATAAAGAATGTTTCCCTTAATTTACAAATATATACTTTCTGAATGATTGTGATGATTCTTTCTCATGAAAATGTCTATCAGAATGTTGTTATGTAATCTCCATGATGCTGGATGCTTTTATTATGATGCATTGCCATTTTCTTTTTTCCTTCTTTGTAACTTTTAAAGGGGATATTGAGCCAGGTAAGAGATGGGCATGCCCTCTATAGACACTACCCTACTGGCATGTTGACATATAGCACGCCATCTCACATGTCATAACTCAAACCAGATTTAACATTATCAAGGCAAATCCAACTTCCTGAACTGATTTAAAAACTCTTTAAAATCAAGTCCAATTTATATCGTCTCGAGGCTTTCATGCAGCTTTTTATTCAAACTTAAGTCAAAATCCAATGACTTTAAAAAAAAAAAAAAATTGTTATATTTGTGATAATGTGACAGGTACATTGTCATTTAAATTTCCAGTTTGTTGAAAGAATAAAATACTATAACATAAATAACATATGTTTGGCTATGGTAGAAATAAAAGATTGAGCTATCTGGTTAGAATGGACGTGGTATGATCAATGTGAGATTGTTGTATATAATCACTATGCCCATGATTGATTGGGAAGATTTCTGTTTAGCAGTAATTTGAGTGTTTTTGTTTCAGTTAGAAAAAAGTTTTTTTGTGTTTTGTTTCACCAGATTTTTACAAGAGTAGAAACAAGTAGATTTCTTTGTGTGACAACAGCACATTTTGGTGGCTCGCCTTAAACTCAGGGATTTTACCTGTGTGCTTGCAACAAATAGACTTCTTTGTGTGACAATATTTATACCAACAGCACATTTCGGTGCCTCGCCTTAAACTCTGGGATTTTACCTGTGTGCTTGCATGTGTTATAAACAGTTTTGTTTGCATTTATTGCCAAATTACCCTTAATTCTGCCACAAATAGTTTCAAATGGCTTAAATTTGAAAGTGTCGGACCAAAGCAAGTTATTTTGTCACAGTAATTAAATGAGAATTTTTACTATAAATGGATTTACATTGTAACTTGTATGATACAAACATCAAGATCATGAGGAGAAAAACCTATAATTTGAAGTTACCTTTATCATATTATTTTAATTCACATGTACACTTCTTCCAAATCTATTGGTTTTCTAATCTATACAAATGTTTCTACACTCCACCTTTGTCATTTCAAAATCAAAGGCTCTGTAATCATACAGATTCTGTAATACTGTAAACTTTTTACAAATGAAGTAAGTTGATGAGTCAACTTGAGCTATGGAATCATGCAAGTTTGTGATCTCTTTAATGAAGATAAAAGGCAGGATGTTACAAAATAGGGGTTTAACTGAGTGGCTTCAGTTTTGACGTATCATCACTAACAGTTTTAATAATTAAAAAAATTGACTTAAACATATCTAAGGATGTAGAGAATTATGTCAACGGTGAGGAGAACCTTTTAATTTTGAAGATAGACAGTAGTGTATCATATTGAAATAAATTCTACAATGACTTACATTTTGGATTCTTTAGCTAGATATGACAGAAACATTGAATGAAAGCCATAATGAATTAGCAATGCAAAATTTTGCACTCCAATCACTAAGCATTAAGCATGTTTGATGGTAAAATTGTATATGGACAGTAGGGCTTGTATAAGCTGTACTGGAATCTTGATGCACAAAGTTACATTGATATCAGCACTGGAAAGGTTTTACACTCTAAATCTTCTGGATTCTCACAGCTCTCTGTCTGTCATTTTTGTTGGTACAGGTCGGCGTAAAGGAAATTTTAATATTGAAATAAGAAAGTCTTTTATATGATTGTCTTTTCCTTGCAGAGTTAATGTTTTTGATGTAAATAATTGACCAGTCTCCCTTTAGTTTGCAGTTTTGTGATCAGACTTCCAGTCTTGCATCATATGGCGGACTATCAAAATTTTGCCCTGCATCTGTGGATTTTTTTCTGTCTGTAAAAAATATTAGTTATTGCTATTATTTGATTATTTGATTATTTTAATACTGTGTGGATCTTTCTCAAATTTTACATGAATGGAAAAATGACTGCAGACCATGAGGGAACCAGTTGTATTATAGATAAAGGATGGTCATGTGACTGTTCTTTATGTCATGGATGTTTTCTAACTTGTGTAGATCAGAGGCAGTCATGTGACTTGTATAGATCAGGGATTGTCTTGTGTTGGTGTAAATAAGGGACAGTTATGTGACGTGTGTTACAGCCATGTGTTTGTGTGAATTAGGAATTGTAATGTGACTTGTGTAGATTAGGGATTGTAATGTGACTTGTGTAGATTAGGGATTGTAATGTGACTTGTGTAGATTAGGGATTGTAATGTGACTTGTGTGAAATAGGAATTGTAATGTGACTTGTGTAGATTAGGGATTGTAATGTGACTTGTGTGAAATAGGAATTGTAATGTGACTTGTGTAGATTAGGGATTGTCATGTGACTTGTGTGATACTGATGCAGTTATATAGATCAGAGATAATCATGTGACTTGTGTATTTTTGGGATGGTCATGTGACTGTTATGTAACACTGACATTTTGTGATACCTAATATTTATGTTGTAGGCCATCTTTCCCAGGAAGGATTTCTTATGTTCTTGATGAGTGATGAAAACCAGAGTATTGCACCAGATTTGTTGGATCTGAGCCATGACATGACTCAACCTTTAAGTCATTACTTTATCAACTCCAGCCACAACACATACTTGTGTAAAACACACTTGTATACCTAACAAGTTGTAATGTGACAGTGTAAAACACACTGTACACTTGTGTGAAATAGGAATTGTAATGTGACTTGTGTAGATTGTAAAACACTCTCCAGACTTGTGTGAAAACAATTGTAATGTGACAGGTGTACACACTTGTCATACTTGTGTGAAACACACTAATGTGACTTGTGTAAAATTGTAATGTGACTTGTGTGAAATAGGAATTGTAATGTGACTTAACAGGTAAAACATGTGACTTGTGTGATACTAACAGGTATGCACACATATAGATCACAGATAATCATGTGACTTGTGTACCTTTGGGATGGTCAGGTGACTGTTAAAACACACTCCATTTTGTGATACACACTAATATTTATGTTGTAGGCACATCTTAACAGGTAAAACACACTTTCTTATGTTCTTGATGACAGGTGACACTGAACCAAAGTAAAACACACCCCATACTTACACACTTTGTTGGACAGGTCACACTCCATACTTAACAGGTAAAACACTCTCCATACTTAACAGGTAAAACACACTCCATATCTAACAGGTAAAACACACTCCATACTTCACAGGTAAAACACTCCATACCTAACAGGTAAAACACACTCCATACTAAACACACTCCATACTTAACACGTAAAACACACTCCATACTTAACAGGTAAAACACACTCCATACTTTACAGGTTAAACACACTCCATACCTAACAGGTAAAACACACCCCATACTTAACAGGTAAAACACACTCCATACTTAACAGGTAAAACACACTCCATACCTAACAGGTAAAACACACTCCATACTTAACAGGTAAAACACACTCCATACTTAACAGGTAAAACACACTCCATACTTAACAGGTAAAACACTCCATACCTAACACGTAAAATACACGCCATACTTAACAGGTAAAACACTCTCCATACTTAACAGGTAAAACACTCCATACTTAACAGGTAAAACACACTCCATACCTAACAAGTAAAACACACTCCATACTTAACAGGTAAAACACACTCCATACTTAACAGGTTAAACACACTCATACCTAACAGGTTAAATACACTCCATACCTAACATGTTTAACACACTCCAAACCTAACTGGATAAACACACTCTTTATTACAGGTAACATCCAATACATAAGAATCTAGACCTAACACTGTATATAGTATTACACTGACCATTCACCTGTATACCTGTAGGCCACCAGTTGACCAGTAAGTCGTCTGTGGAATTGTACAGACAAGTCCTGCTCAGTGGATGTCGCTGTATAGAACTGGATTGCTGGGATGGACGAGGTGCAGATGAAGAGCCAATCATCACCCATGGTTACACCATGTGCACTGACATCTCCTTTAAGGTTTGGACACCACCATGGTTACACTATTTGTACTAACATTTCCTTTAAGGCTCGTATAGCACCATGGTAACACCATGTATAATGATATCTAAGTGATAATCCTACTATGTTTTGAAATTAGCAGCAGTATATCATGATCATACTTTCTCAAATTGAGCTTTGCTGGCAATGTGTAGTGAAGACAGTAAAACTGATATTTGTTTGACAGCATCATCACAATATACAAATTACAATACGGTAGGATTGTCCCTTTTCTAATTCAAATTGATTTAAACAAGTTATAACAAAATGTAACAAATGATTATCATTTTTGTGCATAATTTCATGTGTCAAGACATGTCAGGGGGCAGTTGTGGCCATTGGTATCATTAACAGTCATCATCCAGGCTAGATATGAATATGAGAAATTTGTGGACAGTAAATCATGGTTTAACTAACAAAAAATTATTTTTATTCACAAATCAAATTTTGTGTTACCTCTGGAATTCAATTTGAATTCATGTTCTTGTATCACAATGTGCCTTGCATTACTTCAGTCTTATGTAGCTGAACTTGAGAAATGAAAAAAAAAATTATTTAAAAAATTCTTTTTACTACTTTGAATTCTTTCTTACAGGAAGTTATTGAAGCCATTGCAGAAAGTGCCTTCAAGACAAGTGATTTCCCAGTGTCCCTGTCCTTCGAAAACCACTGTTCGTAAGGATCACCGTTTTTTAGCTAATGAAGACAGTTTAATATTTCATATCTTACCTGAAAATGAGTTAAAATCTGAAAGTTGATAGTATAGATATAGCAGTTACAACTAGCTATATAACTCTATATTTAGATACAACAGTGATGACTGGCTATATAACCGTGATAAATACATCACCAATGTTAAGGTCACTGATATTGTGGTCTATGTTTCTATATTTAGATACAGCAGTTCTGACTAGCAATATAACAATTACTGATATTGATGTATCTATTACAGACCTAGACAACAGGCAAAAATGGCAGCCCACTGTAGAAATATATTCGGGGATATGTTACTAACAGAGCCACTGATGTCAAACCCGGTAAGTAGAAATAACATATATAGTATGTGGGAAGAAAAAATCAGTTATGTAATGAGAGTAAACCTGGTTTGTAGTGAGAGTAAACCTGGTGTGTAGGGAGAGTAAACCTGGTGTATAGGGAGAGTAAACCTGGTGTGTAGGGAGAGTAAACCTGGTGTATAGGGAGAGTAAACCTGGTGTGTAGGGAGAGTAAACCTGGTTTGTAGGGAGAGTAAACCTGGTGTGTAGTGAGAGTAAACCTGGTGTGTAGGGAGAGTAAACCTGGTGTGTAGGGAGAGTAAACCTGGTGTGTAGGGAGAGTAAACCTGGTGTGTAGTGAGAGTAAACCTGGTGTGTAGGGAGAGTAAACCTGGTGTGTAGGGAGAGTAAACCTGGTGTGTAGTGAGAGTAAACCTGGTGTGTAGTGAGAGTAAACCTGGTGTGTAGTGAGAGTAAACCTGGTGTGTAGTGAGAGTAAACCTGGTGTGTAGTGAGAGTAAACCTGGTGTGTAGGGAGAGTAAACCTGGTGTGTAGTGAGAGTAAACCTGGTGTGCTGTGAGAGTAAACCTGGTGTGTAGGGAGAGTAAACCTGGTGTGTAGTGAGAGTAAACCTGGTGTGTAGGGAGAGTAAACCTGGTGTGTAGTGAGAGTAAACCTGGTGTGTAGGGAGAGTAAACCTGGTGTGTAGTGAGAGTAAACCTCTTGTATAGGGAGAGTAAACCTGGTATGTAGTGAGGGTAAACCTGGTTTGTAGGGAGAGTAAACCTGGTGTGTAGTGAGAGTAAACCTGGTGTGTAGGGAGAGTAACCCTGGTGTGTAGTGAGAGTAAACCTGGTGTGTAGTGAGAGTAAACCTGGTGTGTAGGGAGAGTAAACCTGGTGTGTAGGGAGAGTAAACCTGGTTTGTAGGGAGAGTAACCCTGGTGTGTAGGGAGAGTAAACCCGGTTTGTAGGGAGAGTAACCCTGGTGTGTAGGGAGAGTAAACCTGGTTTGTAGGGAGAGTAACCCTGGTGTGTAGGGAGAGTAAACCTGGTGTATATGGAGGGTAAACCTGGTGTGTAGGGAGAGTAAACCTGGTTTGTAGGGAAAGTAAACCTGGTATGTAGGGAGAGTAAACCTGGTTTGTAGGGAGAGTAAACCTGGTGTATAGGGAGGGTAAACCTGGTGTGTTGGGAGAGTAAACCTGGTGTGTAGGGAGAGTAAACCTGGTGTGTAGGGAGAGTAAACCTGGTGTGTAGGGAGAGTAAACCTGGTGTGTAGGGAGAGTAAACCTGGTGTGTAGTGAGAGTAAACCTGGTGTGTAGGGAGAGTAATCCTGGTGTGTAGTGAGAGTAAATCTGGTGTGTAGGGAGAGTAAACCTGGTGTGTAGTGAGAGTAAACCTGGTGTATAGGGAGAGTAAACCTGGTGTATAGGGAGAGTAAACCTGGTGTGTAGGGAGAGTAAACCTGGTTTGTAGGGAAAGTAAACCTGGTGTGTAGGGAGAGTAAACCTGGTGTGTAGTGAGAGTAAACCTGGTTTGTAGGGAGAGTAAACCTGGTTTGTAGGGAGAGTAAACCTGGTGTGTAGGGAGAGTAAACCTGGTGTGTAGGGAGAGTAAACCTGGTGTGTAGGGAGAGTAAACCTGGTGTGTAGGAAGAGTTTACCTGTTTTGTAGGGAGAGTAAACCAGGTATGTAGGGAGGGTAAACCTGGTTTGTAGGGAGGGTAAACCAGGATTGTAGGGAGAGTAAACCAGGTGTGTAGGAAAAGTAAGCCTGGTGTGTAGGGAGAGTAAACCTGCTGTGTAGGAAGAGTTAACCTGTTTTGTAGGGAGAGTTAACCTGTTTTGTAGGGAGAGTAAACCAGGTATGTAGGGAGAGTAAACCAGGTATGTAGGGAGAGTAAACCAGGTATGTAGGGAGAGTAAACCAGGTGTGTAGGAAGAGTTTACCTGTTTTGTAGGGAGAGTAAACCAGGTATGTAGGGAGAGTAAACCAGGTGTGTAGGAAGAGTTAACCTGTTTTGTAGGGAGAGTAAACCAGGTGTGTAGGAAGAGTTTACCTGTTTTGTAGGGAGAGTAAACCAGGTATGTAGGGAGAGTAAACCAGGTGTGTAGGAAGAGTTTACCTGTTTTGTAGGGAGAGTTAACAAGTGTGAGATTCATTATTCATTCTTTTATTGAAGCAAACACTAAAGCCATGTGCTTGGATAAGCGTCATGTGTGAATGATCAGCTTTGAAGTCACTTCCTCTTTTGCTTAAGTTTCACCACATTAATTGATATCATCTTTTCTACTCCAGGTTGAACCTAATACACCGTTACCAAGTCCACTACTGTTGAAAGGCAAGATTATCGTAAAGAACAAGAAACGGCACACTCACAAGCCCAGACCAGGTAAAAATAGCTAAATATATGCTGGTACAGCCAGCTTTGTATGGTTTGGGGGGTGGCAGGATAATGCTTGGCCCCATGTAGCGAGGATCTGTAGGGACTCTCTCACTAACAACAATATCCACCCACTGGACTGGCCGCCATACAGCTAAGACCTATCCCCTATTAAGCACTTGTGGGACCAGCTGGATAAACAGGTTGGATGATGCCAACTGCCCCCTATTACTCTGGCCCAACTTAGAGAGTAAACACACTCATGAACTCCATGCCTTGGAGAATCAAGGCTGTGGAGCGAGCCAATGGGGGACATACCTGGTATTGACTTGCCAGCTCCCACAATCAGTCCATTTTCTATTTCAGATTTGTTTTTTCCATTTTGTGTCTTTTTCAATTTTAGACTCATTGGGAGGGACTTGCTTACCATAACACTCATGTCAAAATATCAAGGACATGTAAGAAGGGTTGTACATGCACTCAAAGTAAACTCATGGCCTCTTACGTATGCAAGGATTTAATTGACCTTTCAATATTTGTTTGATAGCAAAAGTTCAGACACCTTTGAAGAGTACACCAAGTTCTAGTAAAATGGGTCAGGTGAATGGAGAGACCAAAGGTGGAGGAGGAGACAGTGGTGGAGGGGGAGGAAGTGAAGGCAAGTCCAGCTCATCATCCTCCGAGCCTAAAGCACGCACAGAGAGCGAGAGTGGTGAGGGAACACCTGCAGATAAACCTAGAGATGGACCAATTGATTCGGATGAGGATTCTGAATCAGATGAGAGTGACTTTGAAGAGGAGGAGGAAGTGCAGGATAAGATCAAGACTAACTTCAAGCAGGATAAAGTAAGGTTCTGCTAAGTAAATAGGATATTTAAAGCTAAAAACTCCACTATGATATGGTAGGTTTTTCATATATCTTGCAATACAATTATTAAGTGAAGTGTTTTTCATAGCCCAGACTAAAAAGTAAGAGCACTCATTATGGGACACAATGTTGATTTTTTCCAATGTAATGGTACAATTACTGCTCTGTTCCTTCCTTGTAATATAGATATTATTGATTGCAAAGTGACAGTTCTATTTTTTGGGTTTGTTGATCTTTTAAAAAAAGAGAAACCTTGATTCTATCACTTCACATAATCAACAGAATATGTAACAATAAATTTTTTAAGAAAATGACAGTACAGTCAGGTAAATGAGAAATTGTTATAATTGTGTAGGGTACAGCTGGAAAAGAAGCTGAAGCTGGCCAGGAGATGTCAGCTCTTGTCAACTATATACAGCCTGTCCACTTCCACACCTTTGATATCTCAGAAAGTAGGTACCCAGATCTCTAGAGACTTAAAGATATAACATACATGTCAGGCCACATTATCAAAAGATTACTGATTTGTCTGTCCGTTTTCAATCACAATGGTTTTTATTAAAAAAACCCCAACATATACGTGTATATTGATATTCTAACTAATTATTCATATCAATTGGAATTTACTGATAGACTGGTCATGGGTATAATTCTTTTAATGTAGTTAAACTTTATGCAGGAAGTCTAATTTCCTCTCATACTTTCATAAAGATAAAGATAACATTTTAAAATGATGTACAATTCAATTGTATGAAGTAACCTTGCTGAAAACTATTTTTTCAGAGAGAAGCAGGAGTTATGAAATCTCATCCTTTGTGGAGACCCAGGCGCTGAGTTTATTAAAGGAATATCCAGTAGACTTTGTCAAGTATCCTTTCAATAGATGATTTGACGTATATTCTTGTAAAGATATGAAGTGTTTTCCTGTATACTCTTTTTATGTTGATCATTTGTAATACTGCATCTGCTAGATATTGAACACAAGTCAGGTGCTCATTAATCCTAAATATATTGGCGTTATGTATCAAAAAAGTCCTTAAGAAATTTATTTAAGATATGAACATTTGGTATGACCTTCAGAAGGAAACTAGTACATTTAGTGTGACCTTCAGAAGGAAACTAGTACATTTAGTGTGACCTTCAGAAGGAAACTAGTACATTTAGTGTGACCTTCAGAAGGAAAATAGTACTCAAATGTTCTATAAATACAGGTAATGGCTAACACAGGTAGTGTTTATCTAGTAAATACAGGTAATGGCTAACACAGGTAGTGTTTATCTAGTAAATACAAATGTTCTATAAATACAGGTAATGGCCAACACAGGTAGTGTTTATCTGGTAAATACAAATGTTCTATAAATACAGGTAATGGCTAACACAGGTAGTGTTTATCTGGTAAATACAAATGTTCTATAAATAGAGGTAATGGCTAACACAGGTAGTTATATCAAGTTAATACAGGTAAGTATTTACTACAGACTTTCTCTAAATACATGTACTATCTAATAAGACCTCTAAATACATGTACTATCTAATAAGACCTCTAAATACATGTACTATCTAATAAGACCTCTAAATACATGTACTATCTAATAAGACCTCTAAATACATGTACTATCTAATAAGACCTCTAAATACATGTACTATCTAATAAGACCTCTAAATACATGTACTATCTAATAAGACCTCTAAATACAAGTACTATCTAATAAGACCTCTAAATACAAGTACTATCTAATAAGACCTCTAAATACATGTACTATCTAATAAGACCTCTAAATACATGTACTATCTAATAAGACCTCTAAATACATGTACTATCTAATAAGACCTCTAAATACATGTACTATCTAACAAGACCTCTAAATACATGTACTATCTAATAAGACCTCTAAATACAAGTACTATCTAATAAGACCTCTAAATACATGTACTATCTAATAAGACCTCTAAATACATGTACTATCTAATAAGACCTCTAAATACAAGTACTATCTAATAAGACCTCTAAATACATGTACTATCTAATAAGACCTCTAAATACAAGTACTATCTAATAAGACCTCTAAATACAAGTACTATCTAATAAGACCTCTAAATACAAGTACTATCTAATAAGACCTCTAAATACATGTACTATCTAATAAGACCTCTAAATACATGTACTATCTAATAAGACCTCTAAATACAAGTACTATCTAATAAGACCTCTAAATACAAGTACTATCTAATAAGACCTCTAAATACAAGTACTATCTAATAAGACCTCTAAATACATGTACTATCTAATAAGACCTCTAAATACATGTACTATCTAATAAGACCTCTAAATACATGTACTATCTAATAAGACCTCTAAATACATGTACTATCTAATAAGACCTCTAAATACATGTACTATCTAATAAGACCTCTAAATACAAGTACTATCTAATAAGACCTCTAAATACATGTACTATCTAATAAGACCTCTAAATACATGTACTATCTAATAAGACCTCTAAATACATGTACTATCTAATAAGACCTCTAAATACATGTACTATCTAATAAGACCTCTAAATACATGTACTATCTAACAAGACCCTGTAGTGTTTTGATACTGGTAAGTGATATACTTTGCCAATGTATATTTATATATAGATGATAATGTTGACACCTTGTAATGTTGTCCTTGACACCTGTACAGTTATAACAAGAGACAGATGAGTAGAATCTACCCAAAAGGAACACGAGTCGACTCCAGTAACTTTCTTCCACAGGTATGTATTACCAAACAAGACAGATGTTCTGGTTAACTACACACTGTCATTGATGTGTGTATCAGTTGCTTGATGGTCCAATATTAAGGTGGTGATTTTAGAATTAATTGTGATATCAATTTAAATTAAACAGGTCCAATTATTATAATAGATATAACCTTTACAGTATGTATAAGACAGCTTTTATATCTGTTGGGATTGTCATTCCAACTTTTTCTTGTCATTTCTTGTTCTTGATGGCTAAGGTCCAGTGATGATGACTAATTAAGGTCATGTGATATGATAACTAATGAAGGTCATGTGATGATGACTAATTAAGGTCAAGTGATGACTAATGAAGGTCATGTGATGATGACTAGTTAAGGTCATGTGATGATGACTAGTTAAGGTCATGTGATGACTAATTAAGGTCATGTGATGATGACTAATGAAGGTCAAGTGATGACTAATTAAGGTCATGTGATGATGACTAATGAAGGTCATGTGATGATGACTGATGAAGGTCATGTGATGATGACTAGTTAAGGTCATGTGATGATGACTACTTAAGGTCAAGTGATGACTAATTAAGGTCATGTGACGATGACTAATTAAGGTCAGGTGATGATGACTGATGAAGGTCATGTGATGATGACTAGTTAAGGTCATGTGATGATGACTACTTAAGGTCAAGTGATGACTAATTAAGGTCATGTGATGATGACTAATTAAGGTCATGTGATGATGACTAATTAAGGTCATGTGATGATGACTAATTAAGGTCATGTGATGATGACTAATTAAGGTCATGTGATGATGACTAATTAAGGTCATTTGATGATGACTAATTAAGGTCATATAACGATGACTAATTAAGGTCATTTGATGATGACTAATTAAGGTCATGTGATGACTAATGAAGGTCATGTGATGATGACTAATGATGGTCAAGTGATGACTAATTAAGGTCATGTGATGATGACTAATTAAGGTCATGTGATGATAACTAATTAAGGTCATGTGATGATGACTAATTAAGGTCATGTGATGATGACTAATGAAGGTCATGTGATGACTAATGAAGGTCATGTGATGATGACTAATGATGGTCAAGTGATGACTAATTAAGGTCATGTGATGATGACTAATGAAGGTCATGCGATGATGTTGAAACTATGTCATTTTGGATAAAATCTTGTACTGATGAAAAAACTGTTAAACTATAAAATACTATTACTATACAATCACATGTTAAAGCAAGTCTCTTGTTTCAGATCTTCTGGAATGCTGGCTGCCAGTTGGTTGCATTGAATTTCCAAACTTTAGGTAATATTGCTTGTTGAGATTGGTTGAGATATGTGTAATGCAGTGATTTCTGAGTTAAATAGCTGAGGTGTGACTGTTGTATTCTAGAATGTAATTATATGATGTCAGAATCACACAGTGTGATTTTTCTATTAGAATTCTAGAGTTGGTTTTTTGTACTCTAGAGTTTGACTGTGATGTTTGAATCCAAGAATGTGACTGTTTTCTGGATTCCAAACAAACAATACCTTCAATATTTTAGATATATAATAACATAGCATTATTTGTAAATGACTCCATTGGCATCCCTTTTCTGTTGATGTTACTGTCTGTTTGTTTTTGTTTATTTTAATCCTCTGTTTTTAGATGTACCAATGCAGATCAATCTGGGAATATTTGAGTACAATAACCGCTCAGGCTACATACTCAAACCAGACTTCATGAGAAGAACGGATCGACGGTTTGACCCCTTTGCTGAGTCAACTGTAGATGGCATTGTAGCTGGCAAAGTTGTGGTTAAGGTCAGTGCCAGTAAAACATATTAATAATTGTTACCAAGGTCATTGTCAAGGTCACTTTCAAGGTCATTTGATTATCATTTTCTGTGTTCATCCCTTATTCAACAGAGAAAAGAGACCATCATTTAGCTTCTTAGTAACATCCTCATTTCAACTAGATCTCATGACCTTAAAATAATTCTGGAAGTTAAGTCAAGGTCAAGGTTATATACTCCAGAATCATTACATTATAGTGATAGGGAAATCAATCAGTTGGTTTGTCCTTAGTTCCTTGGCTATTGTTTTTAACAGTGTTTCTTAAAACTTCGTACAACTCTTCCTGACATTTTTTCCCAAGATTGAAAATCAGAGTCATATGTTAAACTTTAAGGTAATTTCAATATAATACTACTAATTATTGGACGTGAAAATTCTGAAAAAAAAGTTTTTCAAGTTTTCAGTCGAATTTCAGGAGTCTTCACATGGTTACATGGGATATCCATTTCTTAGTAGTGGTCGAATGTTAAAGTAATTCATTCAAACCCATAGAAGAAGCTTGCACTAGATAAGTCTCCACACTATCAATCTGACTGGTGTTTGATCCAATTTACCATCAGTAGATGTTTTTTGTATTTAACAGATAATATCTGGTTCCCTCCTGTCTGAGAAGAAGATGGGTACCTATGTGGAGGTGGAAATGTATGGTTTACCCACAGATACTGTCAGAAAAAAATTCAAAACTAACATGGTAACCAACAATGGCATTAACCCTGTATATTCAAGTGAACCATTTGTATTTGAAAAGGTAAGTGTTGCCTAAATAGTGTTTTTCTATACTGTTAATCGCTTAGATTTTACAAATACTTTATTTCTTGGAACTTACCTGTTTAGACACATTCGCGAATACATAATTTCACGAATGCTGATCTAGAAACAATTTATAAATTTGCGAATGATGAGCTATTAGAGGCCAGGTCTCTTCAACACTACAATATCAGTAACAGGATCATCATGAGTTATTTTCATACAAGTAATCACGAGGAATTTTAATTTGCTTTTAACTCTCCATTAACCCAAAAATAAATCCCATGAAAAATATGTAAGTTACAGTAGTCATGGTCTGTTAATGTTAAGATCTCTCCACAAGGTTGTATTGATATTGATCTTAAAAATAATTGTCATTCAACTTCAGTAGTGAAAATATGTTCATGTGGATTGTCATTCAACTTCAGTAGTGGAAATATGTTCATGTGGATTGTCATTCAACTTCAGTAGTGAAAATATGTTCATGTTGATTGTCATTCAACTTCAGTAGTGGAAATATGTTCATGTGGATTGTCATTCAACTTCAGTAGTGAAAATATGTTTATGTGGATTGTCATTCAACTTCAGTAGTGAAAATATGTTCATGTGGATTTCAATAGCAAACTATGACTGATACATCACCTTTTAAATGTAGTTCTGAAATATGTGTTAAAATATCAAGATATTCCATCAACCCTTTCCGGTTCACATCAGTTGTCACACATGATTTTTTAATGAGTCTGCTTGTGTTACAGGTCGTCCTTCCAAATTTAGCTGTGATAAGAATTATTGCATTTGATGAGAACAACAAAATGTTAGGCCATAGGATTTTACCTGTTCAAGGTTTAAGACCAGGTAAGTTATCAGGTATAGATTGGGATTGATTGTGCCACAAACTGGTGTATAGCTGTCTTAATTTGGACATATTCTTGAAAAGGTTTTGATACTCTTTGATAAGCAATTTGTGATGCCATAATACATAAAATAAAAGGACATTTTCAAATGTGAAACCAGAAAGATATACCTAGTCCTGATGACAAGAAATTATGGATCAAAATTTTTGACTGTTCTTGCAGGTTACCGCCATCTTCCACTTCGGAATGAATGTAACCTGCCTCTCCTACTACCCAGTCTCTTTGTCTACATCAATGTCATGGACTATGTGTCAGACCAGTTTGCTAGTAAGTGTTGTAGGACTTGGGGACTTAAGGGTCAAAACAGCTCAATCAGAAATCAGTGATTTGTGATTTGTACTTACACAGTTTTAATTGAGAACAAAAAAACAAGTGTTTGAATTCTCTGATATTATTTAGAATTTTAAGTGTGGCTTTTTTGCCTTTGGAACTGGGTCAAGCATATTTTCTGACAGTTTAAACATTGTTTGATAGTCATACCAGAAATACCTATGTGATTAAATTGATTTGTAGTGGACAACCGCCTTAAACGCTTTTCTTTCAGAACTTGAAAAATAGTTTTAATGATTACAATTTGGTAATACACTAGAGGTGTTCTATTAAAAAATGTCATAATTCTTTATTTACTATCATATCATGACTTGACGTGTTCTGCATTGGAGAGTTGCTAATGTTTGTTTCAGTGTTCACGTGGGCATTGAGTAACCCAATACAGTACCTATCACAGCTGGAGAAACGTGATGCACAGTTGAAGATCCTTGAGGACATGGATAATGAAGATGTATGTATTTATAGGTCTCTAGTGTGTTTTATGGGGGCTGTGATAGTGTATTTGATGGGGGGCTGTGATAGTGCAGACAAACCCTGCTTCAAAATGATGTTGGTTGTTCACTTGGCGATATACTCAGTAAATCTGTTTGACATTTTTTTAATTGGCAAAATTTTGGAATACTGTGATACAGATGAGACCAGGGGTCTCTTTAACATACCAAAGCAACTTGAAGTGGTGCAGGATTATACAGTCACTTTCTGAATATTTGATTTATGTGAAAGGATTTGCTGATTATAGACTTGAAAGTGTCGACCAAAATAATTACGATTATAACAAAATAAAAAAATGATAAATCTTTATTATGGTATTAAACAGAGGCAAACATTCATATTATTTGGCTGGTAGCACACTGGAATGATAAATCTTTATTATGGTATTAAACAGAGGCAAACATTCATATTATTTGGCTGGTAGCACACTGGAATGATAAATCTTTATTATGGTATTAAACAGAGGCAAACATTCATATTATTTGGCTGGTAGCACACTGGAATGATAAATCTTTATTATGGTATTAAACAGAGGCAAACATTCATATTATTTGGCTGGTAGCACACTGGAATGATAAATCTTTATTATGGTATTAAAAAGAGGCAACGATTCATATTATTTGGCTGGTAGCACACTGGAATGATAAATCTTTATTATGGTATTAAACAGAGGCAAACATTCATATTATTTGGCTGGTAGCACACTGGAATGATAAATCTTTATTATGGTATTAAAAAGAGGCAACGATTCATATTATTTGGCTGGTAGCACACTGGAATGATAAATCTTTATTATGGTATTAAAAAGAGGCAACGATTCATATTATTTGGCTGGTAGCACACTGGAATGATAAATCTTTATTATGGTATTAAAAAGAGGCAAACATTCATATTATTTGGCTGGTAGCACACTGGAATGATAAATCTTTATTATGGTATTAAACAGAGGCAAACATTCATATTATTTGGCTGGTAGCACACTGGAATGATAAATCTTTATTATGGTATTAAACAGAGGCAACGATTCATATTATTTGGCTGGTAGCACACTGGAATGATAAATCTTTATTATGGTATTAAACAGAGGCAACGATTCATATTATTTGGCTGGTAGCACACTGGAATGATAAATCTTTATTATGGTATTAAACAGAGGCAACGATTCATATTATTTGGCTGGTAGCACACTGGAATGATAAATCTTTATTATGGTATTAAACAGAGGCAAACATTCATATTATTTGGCTGGTAGCACACTGGAATGATAAATCTTTATTATGGTATTAAACAGAGGCAAACATTCATATTATTTGGCTGGTAGCACACTGGAATGATAAATCTTTATTATGGTATTAAACAGAGGCAACGATTCATATTATTTGGCTGGTAGCACACTGGAATGATAAATCTTTATTATGGTATTAAACAGAGGCAAAGATTCATATTATTTGGCTGGTAGCACACTGGAATGATAAATCTTTATTATGGTATTAAACAGAGGCAAACATTCATATTATTTGGCTGGTAGCACACTGGAATGATAAATCTTTATTATGGTATTAAACAGAGGCAAACATTCATATTATTTGGCTGGTAGCACACTGGAATGATAAATCTTTATTATGGTATTAAACAGAGGCAAACATTCATATTATTTGGCTGGTAGCACACTGGAATGATAAATCTTTATTATGGTATTAAACAGAGGCAACGATTCATATTATTTGGCTGGTAGCACACTGGAATGATAAATCTTTATTATGGTATTAAACAGAGGCAACGATTCATATTATTTGGCTGGTAGCACACTGGAATGATAAATCTTTATTATGGTATTAAACAGAGGCAACGATTCATATTATTTGGCTGGTAGCACACTGGAATGATAAATCTTTATTATGGTATTAAACAGAGGCAAACATTCATATTATTTGGCTGGTAGCACACTGGAATGATAAATCTTTATTATGGTATTAAACAGAGGCAACGATTCATATTATTTGGCTGGTAGCACACTGGAATGATAAATCTTTATTATGGTATTAAACAGAGGCAAAGATTCATATTATTTGGCTGGTAGCACACTGGAATGATAAATCTTCATTATGGTATTAAACAGAGGCAAACATTCATATTATTTGGCTGGTAGCACACTGGAATGATAAATCTTTATTATGGTATTAAACAGAGGCAAACATTCATATTATTTGGCTGGTAGCACACTGGAATGATAAATCTTTATTATGGTATTAAACAGAGGCAAACATTCATATTATTTGGCTGGTAGCACACTGGAATGATAAATCTTTATTATGGTATTAAAAAGAGGCAAACATTCATATTATTTGGCTGGTAGCACACTGGAATGATAAATCTTTATTATGGTATTAAAAAGAGGCAAACATTCATATTATTTGGCTGGTAGCACACTGGAATGATAAATCTTTATTATGGTATTAAAAAGAGGCAAACATTCATATTATTTGGCTGGTAGCACACTGGAATGATAAATCTTTATTATGGTATTAAACAGAGGCAACGATTCATATTATTTGGCTGGTAGCACACTGGAATGATAAATCTTTATTATGGTATTAAACAGAGGCAACGATTCATATTATTTGGCTGGTAGCACACTGGAATGATAAATCTTTATTATGGTATTAAACAGAGGCAAAGATTCATATTATTTGGCTGGTAGCACACTGGAATGATAAATCTTCATTATGGTATTAAACAGAGGCAAACATTCATATTATTTGGCTGGTAGCACACTGGAATGATAAATCTTTATTATGGTATTAAACAGAGGCAAACATTCATATTATTTGGCTGGTAGCACACTGGAATGATAAATCTTTATTATGGTATTAAACAGAGGCAAACATTCATATTATTTGGCTGGTAGCACACTGGAATGATAAATCTTTATTATGGTATTAAAAAGAGGCAAACATTCATATTATTTGGCTGGTAGCACACTGGAATGATAAATCTTTATTATGGTATTAAAAAGAGGCAAACATTCATATTATTTGGCTGGTAGCACACTGGAATGATAAATCTTTATTATGGTATTAAACAGAGGCAAAGATTCATATTATTTGGCTGGTAGCACACTGGAATGATAAATCTGTTTGCTCAAATGTCTGGACTTGACCAACATTCAAGGTCACAGGGATCAAAAATGATATTGCCCATAGACAGCTTCTAAGTAACCAGGAGACCAAGTTCTGGTATAAAAGGTTATTATGTAGGTAACCTTGAATGTATGTAACCTTGGTCAATGTTGGAATTTAACTTTGACCCACATTTAATGTTCACAGGAGTTAAAGTTAGTAACCATCAAATGAAAACAGGCTGATTCACATATTCCATAAATAATATTTGTGAAATTCTCTTGATTTGTAAATCATAACTGTTGTGATTACTTTTGATAACCATTAGGAGGAGGTATCCGAGAGCTCGGTCGATGGAAACAAGGATGTGTCGAGACAAGACAGCAGTAGCAGTACAGCCAATACCATTCCAGAGAAAAAGACGGAAAAGAAACCAGTAACCAGTAAATCTTCTCACGCAGAAATAAAACCCCAGATCAGTGGTAGTTCAGACACCAGCAGTCCATCAGGTAGGTTATATCTATTTATAGTCATACAGACTACCTGTCATGTTCCATACAAATTCACTGCCTGATTTAGGATAAATAGTATGTACTTATGCAGAGTGTGATGTGAAATGTTTAGTTTAATTTTTTCAAGAAGTTCTTCTTTTAGAGTAAGTGTTTTGAAATAGCTTTAAAAATTTCCTCTTTCAAACAATCTGAGCTGCTTATCTAAACTTGAAATTTAAAATTCTTCTGAAAAGAGGGAACTTACAGGTAGATAGTGAAATAACAGAAATAGGTATTTGAGATATGTTGATTACTTGGCAGCACATTCATTCTAGGGGTCTTCTTACATTTAGACAATTTTAACATGAGCCATTGAATGGTTATACAATGATAAAATTGATTTATGTGTAGTCCTGTGAAGTTAAGACAGTGTATACTTTAGTCACATATTAAAGATCCCCACCAATGCACTTGAATCTATAAGTAATAGCAGCAGGATTAGTAAGAAAACTGTAGAGATAATACTGGGGATGGGGTAGGATGGGGAGAGATAATTTCTAAAATTTTCTAAACATTTGACAGTTAAGGGATTGTTTGAAGACGGTGAATAGGACAAGATTTACTTTCAATAAGTTAGAATTAGTCTTTAGAGACAGAATATGCTTCCACCACTGTAGAGTCACACCAATGTGAAGTTGGCTTTAATGAATTGGCAATGTTGGGTTAGATGCATGGTACAGTGTTGACAGCATGCATCGCCAGATCACTTACGACTTTGAATTAGCACTACATGCATTGTAAGGTGAAAGGGTAGCTTAACATTCATAGCCTGGAGTCTTAAAACTAGGTCAACATGTGTCTTGTCTGTTGTATCTTAGTACACTGTATATATACTGTATACATATCTACACATCCTATACACATTCAGCGTACTATGTATAAATCAGTGTTATTTTTTACTGTACATTTAACTGTAGACTGATGTGGATACATCCAGTCATTTATTCAGTTCAAATTGACTGGGAAATCTTAAGTAAAATATTTGAAATGAAATTTGTGGCTATTGAAAAGATTCCATTGGCAAGCCTATTTTAGAAGAATATTGAAAGTGATAATTGATGAGTATTGGCTGGGAAATATCACTTACAATTAAAATAGATGTTAAGTATATGTGGTGTCGGGGAAGCTTTGAAAAGGCATCATACCCCTCTGTTAGTAGGAATCTATAATGTTCTAATTTGTTGTTTTAGCTAAAGTATTTGTATTGTTTTGTGTTTCCCATATATGTTGGATTCGCATGTTTTAATTGTTTTGTTTTTTTTCTTCCCCACAGATCGCATGTTTTATCGTATGTTAAGTTACAGTTATGTAGCTAGCACAATATATTAACCAGTTACAATATACTCACAACCAGCTAACAACCCTGTTATCTTCTAACGTATACCTAACATTTTCCCCCTCATATATCACCATTTGCAGAAAATATAAGGGATTTTGGTTCTGAGCATAAATCAATATACTGAGTCAACATCTTAATTACCATATGGTCTAGATTTTTAATTGAATATTATAAAACCTGATAATTTCAGTTTTTAGATCATCTGACTGAAGGGTCAAGATGACATATTGTGCATTGTCAGTAGCCAAGCGCCTTCCGCTGTCCATTATCTGCCATCTGTAAACTTTTCTTTTAAAACACTGGGTGGATTTAAATCAAATTTGGTCTGAAACATTGGGGTCGGGGAATTATTTCTTAGATTCAGAAAGTTGACTTAACCTCGAGGGACTTTGGGGCGGGGCTCCAAAAAAGGGAAGCATAAATCTCATCCTTTAGGTTGAATCTTTTTGTGCCAGAATCTAGCTAATGCACAGCTAAGCCAATCATAATGGTACTGTACAGTAGAAAAAATCTAGAAACCCAAATTGTCTTTGAAAAATCTATAGATTTCATAACATTGATTCAGTAAATTTATATTTTTGTCATTTTCATTGTGAACTTAAATAGTCCTATCAAGAAAATTCCATTTCACTGTGACTTTATGTGCTTTAAATTGTAGTTACATCCACTGACATAATGACAGGGAGACCTTGCTTGATGTAGTAACATCCACAGACATAATGACAGGGAGACCTTGCTTGATGTAGTAACATCCACTGACATAATGACAGGGAGACCTTGCTTAATGTAGTAACATCCACAGACATAATGACAGGGAGACCTTGCTTAATGTAGTAACATCCACAGACATAATGACAGGGAGACCTTGCTTAATGTAGTAACATCCACTGACATAATGACAGGGAGACCTTGCTTGATGTAGTAACATCCACTGACATAATGACAGGGAGACCTTGCTTGATGTAGTAACATCCACTGACATAATGACAGGGAGACCTTGCTTGATGTAGTAACATCCACTGACATAATGACAGGGAGACCTTGCTTGATGTAGTAACATCCACTGACATAATGACAGGGAGACCTTGCTTGATGTAGTAACATCCACTGACATAATGACAAGGATACCTTGCTAGATGTAGTAACATCCACTGACATAATGACAGGGAGACCTTGCTTGATGTAGTAACATCCACTGACATAATGACAGGGAGACCTTGCTTGATGTAGTAACATCCACTGACATAATGACAGGGAGACCTTGCTTGATGTAGTAACATCCACTGACATAATGACAGGGAGACCTTGCTTGATGTAGTAACATCCACTGACATAATGACAGGGAGACCTTGCTTGATGTAGTAACATCCACTGACATAATGACAGGGAGACCTTGCTTGATGTAGTAACATCCACTGACATAATGACAGGGAGAGACATCCACTTAATGACAGGGAGACCTTGCTTGATGTAGTAACATCCACTGACATAATGACAGGGAGACCTTGCTTGATGTAGTAACATCCACTGACATAATGACAGGGAGACCTTGCTTGATGTAGTAACATCCACTGACATAATGACAGGGAGACCTTGCTTGATGTAGTAACATCCACTGACATAATGACAGGGAGACCTTGCTTGATGTAGTAACATCCACTGACATAATGACAGGGAGACCTTGCTTGATGTAGTAACATCCACTGACATAATGACAGGGAGACCTTGCTTGATGTAGTAACATCCACTGACATAATGACAGGGAGACCTTGCTTGATGAAGTAACATCCACAGACATAATGACAGGGAGACCTTGCTTAATGTAGTAACAGTATAGAAAGTGAAAATAAAAAGAATAACCAGATATGATGATGCACCTCTACCTCCGCCTACCTCCACCACAAAACACACTAAATAACAGCACATGTTCCTCCTGATAAATAACATAAACACACAAGAATTGACTGAAGTTTGTATTTATTCATCTCCTATTTGTGAATTAACGTTTGAAAAATGGATATTTTACTTTTTATTTTACAGCCTAAATTATCCTGCGTGAATGAGAAAATATTATTGTGGATATTTTAAACAAGAATTGAGTGATCAACTAATATACACAAAATTGTAGTTTTAGCCTTAAGTTTTTATGCTTTTTCTGTTTCTTGAATGTTTGCTTTCTTAGTAGCACCTCATTATACAAATGTCAAAGTGATCAAATTTTAAAGTAAGTGAGATTTCACATTCAGATACTGAATTTAGGCCTGAGTAATTATACTTTGACATATGATGAGGTGGTACCATACATCCGAGTGTGTCTTACTGCAAAGATTGATATCCACTTAAAGTTGGTCAGTGGCATTCACATTTTAGCTTATGCATTCTTTAAAACTCATTTTCAAAATTTGAACCACCTTAAAAAAACACTTACATGTTGAATGTATAGAGGGAAATGATTTCTTATTAATAATCTATAGAATGTAGCATTTTTCATGTTTTTTTCTCTCACAATTCCAAGACAGATGCCTTTGCAGTTAGACTACTTCTTTACACTGGTGTTTGGCAGGGTACAGTTCCATCTGCCCTGTTAGCTTCAGAGAAGAAGCATTTTGACATTTACCTTGTCAAGCACCTGACTAGCTATAAACTTCTATATAGTAATTACTGACTTGTATAACAGTGTGTATACTACTGCTTAGGGTGGTATTTGTGTTTTTCTGAAATTCTTTGATAGTAGTGTTTCTAGCCCACTAATTAACAGGCTTTATTCATAGACTGTGGTTTAATGTTAGATTTATTCTTACTAGTTTGACTGATCTTTCACACCATTGTAGACTGTATACATTAATACAAAAGTTGTGTAGTAATGTCCTAAAGAAATAGCTGAAGGTATTAGTCATTTATAAAACTGTGTAAACCTTATGTAGTAGTCATCAGTTAAGTAATCAGAGCGGCATGTTTCACATTGTATTATAGCATTAGAAATTGAGAAAATAGACATATTGGCAATGAAACCTTCATCTCATGCTGTTTTTGATGTGGAGACTGTGGTTGGAATTTCCTGATCTGCCTTTAGTAGTTTGTCTCATTTTGCTTTTGTAGCTAGCATGCTTGTTAATACCTTACCTCATAATGGTCACTACGGTCAGTCTTGAAACCGAAACGTCAGTCTTATAACAGTAACAGATATTGTGGTTATGTATGCTCACATCCAAAAGACATTGTAAGATACATGTGTATTGTTATACAGTGTTAGGTAATTGGATAACGTTTTTCCTACTTGATTGCCAGAGCATGTGAATAAACACAACTGAAAAAGTACACAATTTCTGTTTCTTTTCTTCTTTTTTTTTTTACATTTTTACTTCAAAACACCTCATGGTTCTCAAAATTTGTAGGAATGGTGAGCCAGACTCAACTCCGTAGTGTGAACAGTATAAACAATGAAAACGGAATTAATGCTGCCACCTCTAAACTCAACGGTAAGACATTTCACCTATATAAGTACATATCATAAATATATGTATACTCAACAACTCCAAACTCAATGTTACATATGTTCAACCACACCTAACATAAATATATGTATATTTAACAACTCCAAACTCAATGTTACATATGTTCAACCACACCTAACATAAATATATGTATATTTAACAACTCCAAACTCAATGTTACATATGTTCAACCACACCTAACATAAATATATGTATATTTAACAACTCCAAACTCAATGTTACATATGTTCAACCACACCTAACATAAATATATGTATACTCAACAACTCCAAACTCAGTGTTACATATGTTCAACCACACCTAACATAAATATATGTATATTTAACAACTCCAAACTCAATGTTACATATGTTCAACCACACCTAACATAAATATATGTATATTTAACAACTCCAAACTCAATGTTACATATGTTCAACCACACCTAACATAAATATATGTATATTTAACAACTCCAAACTCAATGTTACATATGTTCAACCACACCTAACATAAATATATGTATATTTAACAACTCCAAACTCAATGTTACATATGTTCAACCACACCTAACATAAATATATGTATATTTAACAGCTCCAAACTCAATGTTACATATGTTCAACCACACCTAACATAAATATATGTATATTTAACAGCTCCAAACTCAATGTTACATATGACTTCTGATTTAAAGAGATTTCACAATTATCTTATAGCTGAAAACATGTATACAATTACCCAAACATAATATTAATGATGTACAGAAACTTACAAGTTTTCTCAATTTAAATCAATCCTAACTTGTAACTTGTTATATGTAGATCTATTTATCTTTCAGATCCAGCCATTTTACAACCAACACCTTTAGCGGAGCTCAAACAACAAAAACCCTTCCTTAAGGCTCTAAGTAAACGAGACAAGGAACTAGAATCTCTAAAAAAGAAGCATGAAAAAGTATGTAGTTATCAGCGCTGACTTAAACCAGGCCTGGTTTATATATATCTACAACATTGGATCTAGTTTCTCTTTACAAATGTCATAGTTTAATTACCTATTATAATGTTAAAATAAGTAATTTACATTAATAATAAATTTGATGACTTTTCCTTTTTAAATTTGAGGATAAAATTATATCATTTGATGATTAATTTATTTGAAGCTTTCTAGTGTCATTTTAGAATTTATTGCGGTTTTAGATATTGACTGAATTTTGCTAGTGTCGAGTTTAGTTTGAATTTGTTTCTACAGTGATGATGATGTACAAAAATGTAAACTTCATCTGCTCATTATCATCTAGAAGCAGAGATTGGATTCTCGACTGTTTAAAGTGTTGTTTGTAACCTACTTATATAATTACTTGAATTTATTATGTGAAGAAAATATGATGCAGATAAAAATGAAAGCGGTATCTGCCTACAGCTGAATTATATAAATCTCTGTACTAGGAATGAAAGTGATGGTGGGAGAGGGTTAGGATGCCTAGAAGTGCTTCTATTTGTCATAAGATGATGGTGTGATATTGGCTGATTTGGATTAAGGATGATATATGTACTTAGGAAGTAAAACATTTTAGTACTGCTTTGTTCAAGGATATTAGGATATTTGTTCTTCAATGAGGAATGGAAGAAAGAGTTGGTAAGAAAAGTCAGTTGTTTACAATCCATATTTCTGAAAGAAAATGATACTTTTCAGATCAATATTTATAAATAAAGACAAAGCATGGTTATTTTAAGTATCTCCATATTCTTTTGGACAATATATGATATGAAATTGGATGATGGATGATATGATTAGATTGGTAGCTATTTAGAGAAAAACAATGTAAGCAGTGTTTCTTTTTTCAGTCTAAATTAATCAAATATATCTCAAGGAATGTAAGAATTAAGAAAGATAATAATGGAGTATCAGAGTAGAGTGAAATTGGATTGTGATGTTGACATCCATCAAATGGCGATTAGGGCATTCTTGGAAAGCAAACATGCGGCATAAAGTTTGTGTGTTTACAGGTGAGGGATGGTGTTAAGGAGGTACATGACACACAGCTGGATAAACTATTGCGTACACAGGTGAAGGCAAAACGTAGTCTGGAGAAGACCAACAGTAAAATCCTAGAAAAGGCCAAGAAACATGGAAACAAAGAAGAAGTGGAGCGTAAAACCTCCATGGAGTATGATAATCTTCTGACCGGCCATGAGGTCGAGGTATACCTCATCCCTCCATAACCAATATTTCTTTTGTTTACAGGCAGAGCTAGCACCTCACATAATTGTTCTTCATATCAAAATGTTCTTTATAAAGGTCACAAAGTATTGTCTTTAAAATATTTGTTATTACTTGATCAAATTCAATCTGTTTTCTACCTTATTATATACAAGTAAATATATTAAACAGAATTTTTTTATTTGAAAGATTTTCTGAGAGTATCATGAAAAGAGCAGATGTACTATTTATTTACCACTTTCCTTATACAACTGTGCTGATCTGTAGACAAGACAGTAGACTGTGACCTTTCGGGTAACATTTTGAATAAGAACACAATGTGATTCCGGAAATGAGATTTAACAAATGAAGACAATATGACAGATAACAAATATTCAATTTATTTTAATTATATTCAACTGACTTGCAATATCTTCTTGTTTTTATTTTAGCAAAAGTCCAAGGTAACTGTTCTGAGGATTTGCGTGGCATAATCACGAAACAGGCTTAGCAACCTTGGTTCACTGTTCCCTGGCCTCTGTACGCTCCTAGGCAGGGATCAGTTTTCTTTTCTTGCTTCAATAATTATTACTTTATGAATTTTTGCTAACTATGTTTCCTTTTTCTATAATTTCCTTTTCTCTCCATATAATTAACCAGTAGATTGTTTTGATTTTGCTTCCCAAGATTTACATCAATATTTTCTATAATCAGCCACAAGAACACATGCTTAAGGAAGTAACATAAAACGTCATACAAGTTGTCTGTATCACAAGAGCTTAGAAACACTTCACAATTATATCCTCCCTGAAAACGGTTCACTGACCTGTCCTATACTCTTGTCAGTTCACCACCTGATGTGTATCTACATTACATTGTCCTGACCCAAACTTACACTGGTTCAATAAACAAGAGTACAACACTGCATCAATCTAAACACCAGGAAAGTGTATTAAATGCCATTTTTGTATATTGACCTTATTTCCAAGGTCAAAGCAGTATTTTAGGTCAGAGGTCAGTTTGCTTTAACTTTGTGTCAGTCTTACTTATTATTGAATATAACTTAATATACAAAATACGAAGTACTTCATATCATGATGCCAAATTGCAGGAATAAACTGAGTTATCCAAATTGACAAATTTCCAGGTCTTCATCTCTTCCTGAATTATAAATGCATCCAATTGCATGGACATTTTAATGTTAAGTATTCTTTAATTTCCTTTTTATTGGCTATGTATAAAGTCCTTTTGGAATGCAATTTTTTGATCTTATTTTACCTGCAGTTTCATTTTGCATCAAGGAGAAATGGTTCTCTTTTGTCCCTGGTTGTTTGTGTCTGAGGTGTGTTCGTATGGTACAATTGATGGGTACTGTTGCTCTTTGGTGTTTTAGTATTGTAAGATGATTCCAATGTGCCTGATGCTTCCTTAGCTGTTCAAATCATTAAAGCCTTATTTTCTTACATCAAGCATACCTGTGTGTACCTGGAGGATGTTATCAGCTGGTGACTTGTCATTATAACTATTCACTGTAGAAGAACAGGACCTTCAATAAGGCTTAGTTCTGATGAGATAAAGTATATGATACAAGAATCAGGTTTTTACAAGAAAACATTAAAAGTTTTGTTAATCCAGTATCACAACCAAGTGCTATGATAACCAAGATAAAACATGGACAAATGAATGTTTGAAATGTCAGTAGTATAATCAATGATAAACTATTATGAATGGTTACCATACTAAGGCTTGGTTACCATACTTAAGCTTGGTTACCATACTAAGGCTTGGTTACCATACTTAGGCTTGGGTACCATACCAGGGCTTGGTTACCATATTAAGGCCTGGTTACCATACTTAGGCGTGGTTACCATACTAAGACTTGAATACCATACTTTAGCTTGGTTACCATACCAGGGCTTGGTTACCATACTTAAGCTTGGTTACCATACTAAGGCTTGGTTACCATACTTAGGCTTGGTTACCATACTAAGGCTTGGTTACCATACCAGGGCTTTGTTACCATACCAGGGCTTTCCCATCTTCAGATGATCTCAACAGTAATGGCTTAACTCTGCCTTGGAAACTGTTACAAGTTGCATGAACAGATTACTGTTGGCTACTATTGGTAATTAGTACTGGTTACTACTGATAACTGCTAATTACTTCTCATAACTATAGATAACTAATGATAATTATCGGTAACTATTGGTAACCTACTGGTAACAGTTGGTTACTGCAGATAACCACTGGTAACTACTGGATACTGCTGTAACTTATTAGTAACTATTCTCTTCTACTGTTATGTACTGGTAAATGTGGGTTACTTGTGATAACTACTAGTAACAAATGGCTACTGTTGATAACTTCTGGTAACTTTGTTACTGCTTGTAACTACAGAACTAGTAGCTATTGGTTCCTACCGGTAACTATTGACCATCACTGACAACTTCTGATGAACACATATTTTCTAACCCATCTGTAATACTCTTTGGATTTATGGATTGTTTTTGAGGTGGGAAGATTAAACATAACAGGATCAGTGATTTAAGTTAGGATTTCATAACAGTATTATGCCTGGTACTGATTTAACATCTGAAACTATGCCTAATACTGACTAAACACAGGTATTTCTAGAGAACATTGACAGGTAAAACACTATAGCTTATACTGACTAAACACAGGTACATCTAGAGAACATTGACAGGTAAAACACTATACCTAATACTGACTAAACACAGGTACATCTAGAGAACATTGACAGGTAAAACACTATACCTAATACTGACTAAACACAGGTACATCTAGAGAACATTGACAGGTAAAACACTATACCTAATACTGACTAAACACAGGTACATCTAGAGAACATTGACAGGTAAAACACTATACCTAATACTGACTAAACACAGGTACATCTAGAGAACATTGACAGGTAAAACACTATACCTAATACTGACTAAACACATGTACATCTAGAGAACATTGACAGGTAAAACACTATACCTAATACTGACTAAACACAGGTACATCTAGAGAACATTGACAGGTAAAACACTATACCTAATACTGACTAAACACAGGTACATCTAGAGAACATTGACAGGTAAAACACTATACCTAATACTGACTAAAAACAGGTACATCTAGAGAACATTGACAGGTAAAACACTATAGCTTATACTGACTAAACACAGGTACATCTAGAGAACATTGACAGGTAAAACACTATACCTAATACTGACTAAACACAGGTACATCTAGAGAACATTGACAGGTAAAACACTATATCTAATACTGACTAAACACAGGTACATCTAGAGAACATTGACAGGTAAAACACTATACCTAATACTGACTAAACACAGGTACATCTAGAGAACATTGACAGGTAAAACACTATACCTAATACTGACTAAAAACAGGTACATCTAGAGAACATTGACAGGTAAAACACTATAGCTTATACTGACTAAACACAGGTACATCTAGAGAACATTGACAGGTAAAACACTATACCTAATACTGACTAAACACAGGTACATCTAGAGAACATTGACAGGTAAAACACTATACCTAATACTGACTAAACACAGGTACATCTAGAGAACATTGACAGGTAAAACACTATAGCTTATACTGACTAAACACAGGTACATCTAGAGAACATTGACAGGTAAAACACTATACCTAATACTGACTAAACACAGGTACATCTAGAGAACATTGACAGGTAAAACACTATACCTAATACTGACTAAACACAGGTACATCTAGAGAACATTGACAGGTAAAACACTATACCTAATACTGACTAAACACATGTACATCTAGAGAACATTGACAGGTAAAACACTATAGCTTATACTGACTAAACACAGGTACATCTAGAGAATATTGACAGGTTCAAACTCATATTAAGTGCTGACTAATATCAAAATCTTCGACTAAAATGTGTGCTGCTATTGTAAATCAGGAAAAGACTGTATGATGTCATTGATATCACTTTGCACCCTCTTGTAAACAAGTTCTAATGCCAGAATAGAATGTTTTCACAATCTATTGTCATATCTATTCTGTACTGTTACTGATTTTGATTAAATGACTTAGCATATAACTGAAGCGTAGTCAGTATCAGCTAGTTTTATCTCTGATATAAGGATTTTATCTCCAATCCTAGTGTTATACCATGTAGGTACTACATAGGCTAATATTAGGAGATATACACTCTGATCTCCATCTAACTTAAGCAGGGTTGATTTAATCATGATGAAGTTCATTGTTGAAGTTAAAGTTAAATATCTTTCATTACATCATCTTTATCAATGTTGATATGTAGTTTTTGTATTAGGTCAAGCTGTTTAACATATGAAGCAGAATAATGTTTTGATAAAGAATTTGGGCCAAGATAATGACAACACCGCTACCTTTAATAATGATATATTATTTTATGATATTTTAATGAATTCTTTTCAAATGTGCTCTGAATTTAAAGTCAATGTTATACATCAAGCATTAAAAAAATCAAGAAAATTGTGAAAGATTATCTTAGAACACCGATACTGACCTAGAAAGCAGCGAGATAAATTTGACCTTTGACTTCTGTTGCAGCATAAGGAGTTACGGAACACACAGACAGAAATGTTTGTGTCCATTAGTAAAGAACATTATCAAGCAGAGCTAGAGATATACCAGCGCCACCTGGAGCCTCTGTACACCACTCTCAAGGAAATTATGGAAACAGACCACAAAAACCATCTTAAGAGGCTCAGTGATGTACATGATACTGAAGTAAAAAAACTTACCGATGACATGGAAGCTTCAAGACAAAAAGATAATAAGCAAATGAGCAAGCAGTACAAGGATAAAGAGGAAAGAGCCAGGTATGTTGATGTTCTAGATATCTCTGATGTACATAATGTAATTACCTTGGTTACAGGTAATGTAATTACAAAGGTTACAAATGATGTAATTACCTGGGTTACAAATGATGTAATTACCTAGGTTACCAATAATGTTATTACCTACGTTATAGCAAAGAATCACTGTCCTTTATCAGGTAAGTAGTGGCGTAAGGACATGTCTTCTTGTGATGTATATAATGCATGGAGTCAGATTGATTCATTAACCAAAGGTTGTTTCTCTGGTGCTTAATTGTTTTCCTGTTTTTTTCAGACGAAGACGTGAAGCACAGCTGAAACATGTAGATGCAGTAGTTGAGCGAAGAAGAAAGGTAATCACACTCAATTAAGTGTACATTGTCTTTTCCTGAATGAGATTTCATATATGATGTTTTAAAGTTTTTAATTGTTGAAATTTTTATTGGGATGAATACTCAAATCAGTGTATGTCACAAACACAATATTTATCTATCCATACAACCAGAGATCAATAGGATATATTGTTGTTGCTCTTGAGAGGTTACCCCAAATCTGTCAATATCTTCAGTTGTGTTTGGCAGATATTAATCAAACTTCAAACATTGCCTCCTGACTCAAGACTTTGGTTTGGTATTGCTTTCAGTTCAGAAGGTGAAAGGTTAAAGTTACTTTCACTATAAATAAAGATTTAGCTTCTGCGTAGTACACAGAATTCTATTGGATCATGTACCTCTTGATTGCTTATAATGTTTTGAAAGTTCAAGGTCATGTTCTCTGGAATAATCAGTAAAAGTGGTTTCGGTACAGAATAAGGTTTCTGCTTTGAAGGTCGTGTGTTCAGAACTATACTCTACAGAATAAGGTTTCTGCTTTGAAGATCATGTTCTCAGAATATATATACTCTACAGAATATGGTTTCTGCTTTGAAGGTTGTGTGTTCAGAACTATAAATACTCTACAGAATAAGGTTTCTGCTTTGAAGGTTGTGTGTTCAGAACTATAAATACTCTACAGAATAAGGTTCCTGCACAGTGGTATTTTGTAATACACATGAGTATACAGACAGGACAACAGAAGAGCTCTTGCTGTTTGTACTTCATCAATTAGTAAATTAATACAAGTATATGAGCTACATTACATCCATCTGTATATGTTTACAGCTTAGTGATATACTTGCCAAGAAGATAGAAGAACTGAACAAAGCTCTGGAAGGTATTGTAGAGGAATTTGAACAAGAAAAACTGCAGGTAACTATATGATTTAGACTTATACCGTGAACAAAAATTATTAATATATTTGTGAATCCATTCACTAGTTCTCCATAAGCATCTCACTTCACAGTCAGATCCTGATCAAACTATTTGAATGTTTTTTTTGGTAACATCCCAAGGAAATGTAGATTGCAGAGTTAGGTGAAATAGTTAGTGTATATGTCTACGCCAGTATTTTACCAATAGAGTTACAAGACCGCTATTGTATTTCTATCCTGTTTACTTCTTTATTAAGAGATCAACAGAGCAGAAATTGATGATATGTTTTGAATGTAAGACAATAGAAATATAGAACAATTGTAGGTCAGCTGGTAGCATTTGAATATTTGTGTTGTGCAGGCCCCAGAAAAGTTGATAGCTGAGTTTGAGGAGAAATGTGAGAAATTAGCGATGCAGCATAAAACTTGTGAGACCGTGGAGGAAAACACGCAGTTATAAGGACCATTTTGACTAGCTTTGTGATACCAAAACCCATGACTCAAAGCCAGGCCACATGTGGTAGCCAGAGGGTCACAACCCTGGAGATGCTGGCAGTCTTTCAGCATATGGAATGTGCCAGCAATCATTGATAAATGGATCAACAAGATGGTCGCCCTGGCAACCATTAACACACTGGGATCAATTTGTTTGTCTCGGCTCAGGTGGCAAAGTGTTCCACCTACAGCGACCATCTCTTCATTGGCGTCCAACCCTGTCTGGAATACAGAGTCATGGCTGCCAGTCTTTACAATATAAGGATACAGAATGCTGTAAAAGAGGTTCCAGTTGATTCCTTCATTATATGCATCAGCAATTTTTTACACAAAAGGAACAAGAACAACAGTGATTTTGACACTTTAACCAAAGTTGAAAACACAAAAACCAACTTGTTTGATCTCTTCATTGCAAGTCATTTAAATTGTTTTACAACTAAATATAGCCACTTTTACAACATTCTGTTATCATAACTTGTATACTTATATGTCTTTCTTAATGCTCCAAACAAACCATACCAAGACATTAGAGTTTGGCGCAGTGTGTTATATGTATATGTGGTGTCTAAAGGTTTAGATAGAATCAGGTGTAGTTTGTAGTGCGCAATACATCAACATTACTACAATGGACTGACAGCAGTGTGGGATATCTACCCAGTAAGTGTTATTATCGGTAGCAAATACCAAAATATGTAAGTAACTGTCTTGTCATCGTGTAGTGCCCAGAGCTTTATTTTGGGATTTGTGGAATATTACTGAAATACTTTATAATGGATTCACTTTATTTATGGAATAATTTCCATGTGGCACAAGTATAGTGGAGTAGGGCATATGATCTCTCATATAGATATATATAAATTGTAAGATGTACTTTGTATATACATACACAGTACAAAGTTGCTTTTATTGTATACGCTACCCAAATTCTTCACTTTTTCAGACTGATATCAGTTGTATCACATAGAGTAGGGATAATCTTCAAATATTTAACATTGTATGACATAATGACAGTATGTCATAGTCAGTTGTGTATCACTAATTAATAAACTGCCAGTGGCTTAGAAATATTGTAAGCAATGTTAACAAATTGAAAGTGTCTCCCCTTATAGCAAGATGGAATTAAAAAATTATGAGTTTAAGCATTCAACTGCTTTTAGTTGGCATTTATAGGCAGTATGAATGCCAAGTGAATGGAGTCAAATTCAACTTGAAGTGGTATATGAATACCAACTGAAAGCATTTCAGTGCTCATATGTATCACACATATATACTTTGTACACTTGTTAAAAACATGTAACAGATTATGGGCCCTTTATAGAATACAACACACAGAGTATGGCCAACTAAAGAACATGACCCATATAACATTGGCGATTATAGAACATGACACAAATTATGGCCTAATATAGAACATGAAACACATGGTTTGACCCATCATAGAAAATTAAACACACAGTATGACCAATACATAACATGACCTACATAGTATGACCAATATAGAACATGACCTACATAGTATGACCAATATAAAACATGACCTACATAGTATGACCATTATAGAACATGACCTACATAGTATGACCAATATAAAACATGACCTACATAGTATGACCAATATAGAACATGACCTACATAGTATGACCATTATAGAACATGACCTACATAGTATGACCAACATAGAACATGACATACATGGTATGACCAATATAGAACATGACATACATAGTATGACCAATATAGAACATGACATGCATAGTATGACCAATATAGAACATGACATACATAGTATGACCAATATAGAACATGACATACATAGTATGGCCCATTATAGTATATGACGCACATAGTATGACCAATATAGAACATGACCTACATAGTATGACCATTATAGAACATGACCTACATAGTATGACCAACATAGAACATGACATACATGGTATGACCAATATAGAACATGACATACATAGTATGACCTATATAGAACATGACATACATAGTATGGCCCATTATAGTATATGACGCACATAGTATGGCTTATGATATAACACAACACACAGAGAGTATGGCCTATTTAAAATCAGACACAAATGTGGCCCAAAATAGAACATGATAATGATTAAATGCCACAATGAATGAATGTGATCTGGATACAATCCACACTGTTTAATGGTTATGTAACTTAGAACGTTATGAGGATATTACTGATGTTTGATCAGGCCTGTATAAATAGAATCGCCCTGTAATACAAAACTTGAGAAACCATTTAGTTAATGATAGCAGAATATCACTGTAAAATTATTGGGCAACAATGTGACATCTGTCATCAAGGTCAAATCTCTAACCTTGATATGAATAAAACAGTAAGGATTGATGGTTTGTCAACTCCCAACAAAAGTCCTCTCTCTTGTTACTGGAAAGTGTTTGAGAGAGGATCCCAATGTTCGTCCATACCTATAGGCCCTCTGATTGGTCAAGATTTCTGACATATTTGTAAACAGATTCCCACACCTTTTGTCTAGGTTAAATCCCATACACAAAGGTAACTAACATTGTCTACACATGTCATAACATTCCATCGTCTTTAGATGTCTTTATTCATGTTATCACCTGATTTAGTAAGATATATATATTGTGCTTTAGATATAAGATGTCTTAAGATGTTCTAGAGTAAGTTAAGAACATTGATGCACAAAGTTGTTGTGAAGTCTGTTGTGTATGCAAGTGGTTTTGGTGACCTTGTCATTCAGTTGTTATGGTATCTCCAGTCGGAGTACAGTTGTACGCTCTCTTATGTTGATTAATAATCTGTTATTGTTGAAGAGTTGGACCCAGGGGCTGCAAAGAGAACAGCCTTCTGTAAGGACCCTGTGGTTGAAATATTGTACAGATTTTATTACTTATATGCATATTTCTTTTTCAAATACAATTATGTTGGATATGTTTCCCTAATTTTTATGTGATATTTTTTCCATATTTGTCAAACATATGTTTATATATATATGACTTGTACAATTTCCATTTCCTGATTATGTATCAGATTTCTAAACTTCCATTATCTGGCAATGGATATTGCATTTATTGTACAATAACTGCCATTATCTGGTGATTTAAAATTGGCTATGTATTTGCTACATTATCCAGTTACAAAGTTCTTGACGTACAGTGCTGGTATGTTAACTATACCATACAGTTATGACCTTTTGACGGCTACCTTACATACTGACCCTATTTCCCAGGTATACTGATATCTTAGTACTTTAACATACTGACCTTATAACCTGGTTATGTGACATACTAACCTCATTTCATGACCATGTAACATAATGACCTCATTGCCTGGCTATGACAGTAGCTAAATGACCTAGTTACCTGGTTTTGTGACATATCTGGTAATTGACTTACCTCATTTGTCATTTTCAAATGGTTACCGCTGTATGTAAGAAACATGGCACTAAGATGCCTTTTGTGACCTGATCATGTGACTCTGACTTAAAACCAATTTTGTACAGATGATATCCTGTCACATGACTGTCTGGCATTCATTGTTCTTCTCAAAACCTGGTCATGTGACTTTCTCTTATAACCAGATTTTACTAACATATATAACCCCTGAGTTTGTTAACCATATTTTACTGACAGCTTTATCCTGCCAGTGTCTGGTTTTATGGGACAACCAACTGTCTGAAGTACTAGCTTTATGTAGAAAGCTCATTTGATTTGAAGTTTTTTGTTAGTAATTGGTAATTACTTCTGGTATAAAAAAAGATTGATTTATTTCTGGTATAAAAGAAAGATTGATTTGCTTCAGTCAATCTTTTTTATTGTTTTACATATGAAGAATAATATTTTTTCTGCAAATTTATTGAACTGAAATAGAATGGTCTTTCAAAAATGTATTAAGAATAGCATTTATATGCATGTGTCCCTCCTTAGTTTACAAAGCTTAGGTTAACATGGCTGAAAGTGTCACAACAGGTGTGACAATACTGTCCTGTAGTCTTGTATAATTGGTACAGGTGATGAAATACCATTATTTATTCTGGGAGTTGGCTGTGTGTCAAGTACCTTTTATTGGCACAAGAAGTAAACAATTGATATGTTTTATGTTTGGCAATTAGTTTCAGAAACAAATGTTTTTCTCAAATGTTGGATTGTAGAATTAGCTCTCTCCACAAGACTTCTATCTTGTGTGACTGTTTTGGATGAATTGCTTTATGTTACTGGTTTGTTCTCAGATCTACATGTTGTGGCTTAAGCCCTGACAAGTAAAGAGAAGTGGTAATATACATATACTCGTAGGAGGGTGATCAAGGTGGAGAATGTAAAAGTGAGGTAACTAGAAAAGAAGACAAAGTATTTACAACACCTAGAGAACTCAACAGACACAAACATGGATATATACCAGCTGTGAAATCCTATTGCCTGTTCTCCTTATAGTTAAATTAGTTGCTTACAAGGAGTCTTTGAAGTATAAGATTTCTTTTTAATAGTCTTAATTTAATCATATTTATATATATATAATTTTTTTTGTTGAAAGTTATGTACATCAGATATGACATTATTTGATAGATCTGCTATCGTTCTCACTAAAGCAAGATTTGGTTTTGTGTTCCAATTTTTGATTTGTTGATTTTCATGGCATCACCACAACAACAATGGGTAGTGTATACCGGTGTCTATATCTTTATTTCTAAGTATCCTGCTTCTGCAGTGTTTATTGATATCGTGATTTTGATAACTTTTTCCACCAAAATGATTGGAATATTTATGTAATTGTAGATGTTATGTCATTGTATACATATACAGACCAAAATTCACTCAAAAATATTTGCCAAATAATTGCCAAATACAATAGAGAAATTCAACATTTTTCACGGCACAAGAAAAATATAACGGGTATTCTGATGTTTCTGTTTATATCAGATTTGTTTTCCTGGATTTATTATTAAAATGTGACTTTCTTGCTACATGTCAATTTGTGTCAAATCTTTGC